TAAATATCTAAGGTTTTAGTATAAAAAAAAATTATGTTGATTTGTTGATTTTTCAAAAAGTTATGGAAGTTTTAAGAAAAAAAAGTGAAAAAATTTCGAAAATTAGCGATTTTTAAATTTGTAATTTTTTTGGATATTTCCCCCATTTACGGGGAACGAGGGAAATTTTTTCAATTTTTAAGGGTAATGTCTTCAACTAGATACGATTTGTGATCTTTTGACGTATTTTTCAAAGAAATCGGTCCAGTGAGAGCTGAGAAAAAGTGGCAACAGACATAAAAAAAAAAAAAACACATCATAGTAAAATTAATACCTTCTCCGCTACGCATCGAAGCTAATATTGGCGTAATTATCCACCTAATAAACCTAATTATCAAAACCTTGTTATATAGGTTAGATATGTTTTAAAGCGCGACGAGCCGTGGTATTAAACCCTTTTTAAATAATTTAATCAAAAAAGCATAAAATTTTTTTAAAAATTTTAATTAAGCAAAAAAGATACATATATTTTACTCTTTTAAAGTACAGTATTCTTCACAATAAATCTTATAGTGTTATTATATTGTGAAATCTGAACCGGTTTTCAATGACTTTAATCAATGTTTAAATAAAGAAATGGATTGTTAAATTAAGATATTACTAATACTATAAGATTTTCTCATTAATTTACCTTTTTTAAAACAGGATAATTTATAACTTAAGTAACTCACAAATTGTCATAGTTATTTTTTACGGTTTTATTTACACTAGAAACTGCTGAGATTTTCTTTTTAATTTATACTCCGCTCCACTTCTTTTATCATGCCATTTACTACAGTACTTTTATTGTCAGCCCAGTCATTCTATTTAAGCTGTATAAAAGTGCTTACATCAACATTACAGAGTAAATAAAACATTAAGATTTTTTGTGATAATGAAACTCTATATTTTTTAATTTGCTCAATCATGTTGACGTGAAATTCTATGTAGTCTATGCATTTTTTTAGAATATTTGAAGAATGCTGGTGTTTACTGGGTTCTCGTGGTTTTTTTTTAAATAGACTTACATTAATAAGAAAACGTAAGATGTTAAGAATCTGAAATATGTTTTTAGTTTTTGGCTTTTTCTTCAAGTCTTTTTGCAGATGACAAACAACAGTAAACTCGTAATTCACGTTAAACGACTAGCTCAAGAATACCCTCGGGAACTACTATTCGTTTAATAGAACAGGCAAATTACTGAAGTTAGAATTAACATTGGACCGTAAAATTGAATTTCCGACCACACTAAGTAACCTGTCACTATCGATCAACCACTCGACTTTTTTTTTTCTGCTACTGAAATTTTAAAAAGAAAAATTCATAGTTTCTATAGAAATCTTGAGTTAATACATCTTAATTCATTATTTATTTTTGTTAACAGTTGCTTATTTAAATATGGGACAATTGATGGCAACAATGGGTCGTTGTGAAGAAGCTGAGACTGTTCTCAAGACATGTGCTATGTTAGATGGATCTCGCTCAAAGGATCCCGTTAATCACGAGACCAGTAGGGTATCCGCTTTAGTCACCTTGGGAAAACTTCATGCTGATAGAGGAAGATACACGGACGCAGTTCAAGTTTATAAACAAGCTGTCAGTGTACTTCCACAGTATTACAACTCGAGGGTAAGTTAACTTAATAAAAAAAGAACAAAACTGTCGATTGACCTAAATATCCCAAACTAATCAATTATTCAACCAATATCGGAATAGCTAAAAAACTGATAAATAGAACTTACTATAACTTAATAAATAAGCCAGGAACCACTATACAGATGAATGAAGAAAGGATTTTGTAATAGGTAAATAGTTTATTTTCGTGAAAATGATTACGTTGAGATTGTAATTATTGTACATATTGATATATTTAAAGATAGTAATAATGAAAATATAATATAAAAACCGTCCCTTACTTTTTTTTTTAACAAATAGTTTTTCACAACTAAAATCATTGGAATAACTGATGAAGAAAAATGTATAGAATTTATTGAGAACAAATTCAAAAATTTCGACAAAAAACATTTACCCAGTTATAATATCTTTTTTAGACTGGTAAAAATTATAATTATGACTTATTTCAGTTAAGGTCTATAAAGTACTTTTACTAAAATTCATTGAATTCTGTAGGTGTAAAAAAAGACATCTTTTTAAATATAACATACACTCATTATTATATTATACAGCTTTTTTTTATCGAAATGTAAAAGTCATAAATATTGAAAACACTATAAATTGAATTTATTATTCACATTAAAACTCTGAGTAAGAATAAAAATCAAATGACTATAAAAAAAATAATTTTTTTTATGTTCTCTAAAGAAAATTACTTATCTGAGAAATTTGTAAGTCTTAAAGAGCTTTCATAAGAAATGTTTTTGAAGAATATAAAAAAAGGTAAAGCAGCAGTTGTATTATGCTAGTGGTTTTTATTAAACTCGTTTAATCTGATTAAATAGAGTTTTTAGTTCATTTTGCATACCAGTCATAATATTTTACAGACAGCCGTGGATGTTACTTGTTCTAAAAATAACGAGATAAAAAATAATTTACAGCAATAATAAGTATAAAAGTATTTATATTTATTACTTAACATAACCATTACATCGTCTAGCAATACTAATAAAAACATTTTTACTTTTCATAGAAATCTTTGCTTTAAATTAAAATTTTACCCATTTTGTAAAAATTAGAAATATATTTTACAATACACAAATAGTAATTTATGTTTCAATACATTTTATTGTAAAGAAAACTCATTTAAAATTAGAAAACGGGCCGAAACAATATTCATTATTTATTCTTCATTTAAGATATATTTTGAATATAGTTAAATTTTATACCTTAAAACTTTAAAAAACATAATTGCTTTGACTAATAATATTTACTCTAAAGTGTCAAGTTAATTAATTATAATTAGTTAAATTATTAAAAGGATTAGATTATCAGAAAAATTATTTGTCAACTCCTCTGAAGCACCTGCTTACAAGTTAATGCTAACTCAGTTGATACCGTTGGGTGCACCTAAGTCACCCTTATTTCTTTGTGGTCATTTACATAATACGAGTTTTTCCTTAAAACCTAAGCAAACACTGTTGTTATCACGACATAAGATCTTTTACTTTCATGATTTAGGCACTAATTATAGTTTAGGTTACAAGTGCATAAAATATTTAATTTTAATTACAGGATAATTAACCGAGTGTAAATAACTGTAAAAAGAACTTTAATGTTTCGATTAATTGATCCCTATTTCTCTTCCTTTTTTACAACTTTATTTAATTTCGTTTACATATACATAAACTACATTAATAATATCCTGTTTATTGTATACCACAGCTACCTCAGCGAGATTCTATATATATGCCGCGTAGATGACGTATTAACGTTAAGCTATTATGACAATATTATGTTATGTGAAAATGTTTCTCCTCAAATGATTCCCCAATTTGATTTGAAAACTCATCCATCTACACAATGCAATATATTATGAGCATGAATATGCCATCGTGTCCATTGTTCGATTTCGACAGAATAAATCATATGATATAACAATAGAGAAATACATGATCTATACATCGAGTCGACGAATTCAATAATTTAACGAAATGGAATTGTAATAAAATCATAATGCGACTGCTTTACAACCGAGTTGATTAAAATTGAGGTGCTGGCGAATACGACAAAAAAAAAAAATTAACTATTTATTTCAACGTATTACATGTACTTGAGCAAACTTATTGCGAACTTCTTTATTTATAATATTGTACAAACGTTTATATAGGTTCTGTTCAGTCTTTATGGTGACGCATTATCTCAACTTAACCGTCATAGGGAAGCTGAAATGTGGCATAAAGCGGCTCTGGAAGCTGGTCCAGATCATGTACCTTCACACTTAAACTATGGAAAATGGCTGGCGAAAAACGTGAGTAGTGGTTGCAAAAGCTAAATTAAAAAATATCAACAAATCAAATATATATATTTTTTTAATTACAATTTAAGAGTTCTATTTTTATTCTATAACATTAAAGATTTAGAAAAGAAAAATACACCATTATATAAATCACTCATTCCTGTTTATTAATTATAATTTATTTTAAAAAACTAATAACATCATAAATCTACTCACCATACTTTGAAAATAACTACATTTCAACAATGATATAAAGTTTTCTACTGGACCATCAATGTATAGAATATAATTTTTAATTATATTGTTCGTCTTAAATTCTAAGTTTATGACAATATTTAATCTTTTAATACAATATTTTATTGTTTCATATTTTAAATAACTCTTAAAAACTTCATTGTAATTATAGAAAATATATAATAGGTAAATTTGATGGCAAAATTATTCTTTAAATACTAAATAACAATAATTTAATTATCCCACATAAAAATATGTTCTGTTTTTATGTAATCAAAATTAGAAAAAGTAGGCTACTATAAATTTAAACCAAGAGCAGTTTTTTTTTTTGTATAGATTACATTTTAATTTCTATTCCATACAAATGTTTAGTTAAACTAGAGAAAATTGAGAGGGGTAAAAAAGGTATAATGTAGTTAATTAAAACTTGGTTGATCCCAACAAAATAATTAAATTTAGTGAGTAGAGATTTTATAGGACAATGTACAATAGCCATGTCAAAATGTTGAATCCAATTAAATTTTTTAATCACATTATGCACCCAGGTTCATTTCGCAAATAATATTGTGTCAAATAGTTGTATTACATGCACACACATCGCGTGTGGCACGTTTTAAGTCTAACAAATGAATTTGTCAACAGTAAAAATATATTTTTCACTTAAGGTGAAAAAAGTTCAGAAAATTAAATATTTATAACGTCATTAAGCTTTATTATGAATTCACTACTGAACTTGAAACAAGTGTAGGATAAATACAGTCATTCGAATTCTATTGTTTCTATTTATGTGCACTTTAAGAGTGCAGTAATAATTTCCACATAGAACATGACAGAGTGTTTTTTTTTGGGTCGACATACGAAAACAATATATTATTCCAATGTCACTCATCGATTTTAAGATGCAGTTTATTTATCTAGTTGAGTTAGATTAGTTAATAATGAAAAATTCAAAATCATGTAAAATTACTAAGAACAATATTAAATCTCAATTGATTAGCATGATAGTCTTTTAAATTAATTGTTGTCACTATTATACAAAATTTAAAAAAAATTATAGATACTTCCGGAAAATAAATATAAAATAAACTAAAAATTTCAATAAAAGAAACTTTAAAATACAAGAGTTATAAATATGAGATAAACATAAGTTAAGTGAACACATTAAGTTTAAACGAAGATAAATGAAGATTTAATAATTGAGAATTCATTTTAAAAAATTGCTATAAAAAGTAGAACAAGTAGAGATTAAAGTAATGTTTTTTTACTAGAGGTGCGAGATTTAACTCTAAACAAAACACGTAATAGAAAACCAAGAGCATCAAGTGAATTATTGAGGGAATTATACATAAATTGAGCATCAGCATTATTTATACGGAAAATCAATAAGAGAACATAAAAATAATAATTGATCTAGTCATGTCGTGGTGGCAGTAATTTAAAATTAAAAATAAAATCGGTACAGGATAAAAATATATGCTAGACCCCCTCCAGACGTAACTGATCTTTAATAAAATAAGGGTTCATTATAATATAACTATACTCATGGAGAGATTGAACAAGAGCAAAGTATAAGGCACGGAAACAGTTAAGCGACTTGAAGAGCTTGATATTACGTTTTATAAATCATAAAACATTAAAAGCTCTACTAATGGTCATAACAATATATTGACTAAAGTAAAAGGTACTAGTATAATAGATATCAAGGTCTTGGATGAAGTGTAGTCGTTATAACCGGATACCATTTAGATAGTTAGGTTGATGAATAGAGTCTCTAGATATGGAAATAAAAATAACACTACACTTATCAATATTAAGAGATAGTCCAAAATGAGAAACTCAGCAACTAAACTGATTATGTTCTCTTTATAAAAGGAGACAATTTACAGGAGATTCAATCTAATGAAAAATTTTAATCAGTTTAAAAAAAAAATTGATCATTAAAAAGTAATATAAACCAAATAAAAGGTATATTATTAATTTTAACGAATAGTTTACGGTCAGAAAAAAAAGAGCGTAACTAAAAAAGGAGATCATCAAAACCAAAACTAAATTCATTATTAGGTAAATTATGAGAAAGTGTGTCAAATGTATTAAAAGAGTCAATTAGAATGATATAAACCTGGAAATTCTTAATTAAAACTGGGGCCCATATAATTATAAATAAAATATTCAACAATTTTTGAACAAATAATTTATTTACTTTAAAGTAATTTACTGTTTAATATTGTCTTACATGTATTTTTCAAACTCACATGAATATATATATATTATAAATTTTAATATAGTGCACATATAAAATTTGCTAATGCTTTGATAATATAAAAAATTCAATTATGACATATACAAAGTGTATTCAGAAAATAACGGGAATTTTTGTTTTTTGAAAAATTGTTCATTTATTCGTCTACATTAATGTTGTTGTCTTCAAAAAAGTCCCCATTAGATATTATGTACTTGTGCCAACGCTTCTTCTGGCCCTAAAACAGTTCTCTAACACTATCTTTGGGATAACCTTCAGCTCATTCAGCGATGCGCTTTTAATGTCATCTATACTTGTAAAACTTTATTTTTAGAAATAGAAAAAAGTCACACGAAGACACGTCTGGCGATTATGTAGGCTGGGGCATCGTTTTTTTCGGGTTGCTTTACGCAAACGGAGTCAAATTTGTAGATAGTACTTCTTATTGACCGTTTAACCTAGTGGCAAGAATTCATAATGCACTATGCCATTAAAATCGAAGAAAACAGTGAGCATAACATTCACATCCGATCGCACTTGTCGAGCCTTTTTCGGTCTTGGCGATCAAGAAGGCCTCCACTGGGACGTTTGGTCCTTAGTTTCGATATTGTATCTATAAATCCATGTTTCGTCACCTGTTATAAAATGTTTCAGTAATTCTGCAACGTTGTTGATTTCATTAAGTGATTCCTGAACAACTTCCATTTGTCGCTGTTTTTGTTCAAATTTCAACAATTTTGGAACAGATTTTGCTACTACGCGTTTCATACCCAAAATATTTGAAAAAATTTCATGACATGAGCCAATCGATATTTCAAGCAACTTCTCTAATTGTGAGTCGTTCATAACCACGTCCGTCATCTTCAACGTCTTCACGGCCATATTAGAAAGGCTTATACTAATCGTATATCCTTGTTTTACTCGCAGCAGAATAACCATAAGCCTTTGTTAACATTTTACACACTTTGTTACACTTTATTTCATTTTTTAATCAAACCAAACCCGCCACTGACAAAATAAAAAATAAATCTAGTTAAAAATTTTATCATACTTCAGGAACATGTTTATCAATATTATAAAAAAAAAATTGTTTTAATCAGACTCGATAAACTCGCGAAATTTAAAAATTCCCGTTATTTCTGAAAACACCTCGTACAACACATACAGGACAATAAGTCATTTTTTGACAAAGATTTTGTTTTTCCCCTATTATATAATTTACATAAATTTTAATGTATTTTTAGAGAACCCGAATTCACGAAGCAGAAAATTGGTTTCTACGGGCAAAAAAATTGGCTCCTGGTGATTCATCAGTTTATAAACATTTTGGTCAGTATTTTTATATCACATTTTTTCTCATTTTAATTGTCATTAGCATCTGTTTATTTTAATTTTCTAGGAGTATTTTTATTAGAACAAGAAAGATATCCCGAAGCAGCTGCTCACTTAATGGAAGCTGTTATGTTAGAGCCAGAAGACTATGATCTCATCGTTACCACGGCGACAGCTCTAAGACAGGCAGGGATATCGCTTAGGGCCGAAGACATGTATAGAAAAGCTGCAATGCTCAGACCACAAGTATGATGAACAATAATTTATGTTAATCAAAGATCATTCTACGTTGAATGGAAATTTTTTTTTAAGAACAAAAATCACTACTCAGGAAATAATTAATTAATAATTAAGTTAATTCAATAAGCAAAAAAAAATATAGCGTCAAAAAAGAACAGTTTTTGAAAATGAATCTTGTGTGCTGTGCAATGATATTTTGTTAATTCTATTAGGCATTAATAGAAAAATCATACATCAATATTTCTTATTAGTGATGGCGTAACCAGAAGATAACAAGGGGTCCTACCCTCATTATCAGCAATAAGAATTATGTAAATGAAATAATGAGCAAAAAAATATGTATCAAAATATGGAATTTTATAGATATTATTACTATGCCCTCCATTATAAAATTCTGGTTACCCCACTGTTATTAATATATATTTAAAAGGATTCTCTGAAAAGTATCTTCTAATAAATAGCAATTGTCTTAATTAGATACCATCTTGATTTGTCAAATTTAGTATACTTTTTTAAACTTGTGTTGTATAGGAAAAAAATTCTCAAATTCATTTTTTTAATTTTAAAAATAAAATATTTTATAATTAAGTAAGTAATAAAATGGAGTATTAAACATAAGTGGACTTTTTCAATAACAGCTTATAAGTCTAATTAAAAAAAAACGCACATATCATGATAAAACACCTTCTCAGCTATAATTTAATTTAAAACCTTAAAATAAAAGTAAATAAATCATAGAGTATAAATTTTATGAGTATAAACATTATATTTAGATTAAAATCATTCGAAATAGTTTAAAATAATTATGATGTATTATAAATTGACGTGAATAAAAACAATTTCTAGCAATTTTTTTTTATTGCCAAATGAACAATACGGAGAAGGAATCACTATTGTTATACCTGTATGTTTTATATTTGTAGATTACAATAGCTTTTTACAATGAATTTATATAACTTGAATCTTTAAAACGTGAATACATAAATGGAAAAAAGACAATTTTGGGGGTAGTAATATATATACTTTTATAACAACTTTTATAACTTTGTATAATAAAAATATATTGTGCGGCGAAGACGACACACTCCCCATGAGTGTATTTCTAGCACTTTTTAAATTATTAATAATATTATATAATTTTACATTAATACCGTATTAAAATTATAAAATTAAAACTAAATTAATAACTTCTTTTTGTTTAAATTATACATCCCAAAAACAAAACTCTGGCTTTTAAAATACGAACCATAAATATATTAATAAAAATATAAAGTTGTAAAATATTAAAAAAGTAATAATATTTAGAAAAATAAAAAGTGAATTTTTGAACATTTTTTTCGATTTTGGTGTTTCATTCTCATTCTATTTTTTGAAATTTGTTTGTAAGAAATAAAATATAAAAAAAAAAAAGCTATTTTAGTTTTTTTAATGATAAATAACAAAAGAAAATATAATAAGAACTGATCAATTATATGACTAAAATTATTTTAATTTATAAATATATTTATAATATTAATTTTTAACTAATAAATATAAAAAATGTCACTAAAAATCACAGATACGTATTTTGGAAACAATATTACCATTATAACACTAAATACATGACACCTCAATCTAAATATACTCCCTTATATACTATTAATAGTGACCATATCATTTAATGACGTTATCACAAAGTGATGTTATCAGCTAGTTGAAAGTCACATTTTGTCAGTTTACATATATTAAATAACGAATTGTTCAGTGGGCTATGATTCCAATTAATTAAATAATTCTTATTTTTAAACATCTCTAATACCTCTATTATATTAAGTTCTTTGTAATTATTTACGTTTTTAAATAGGTTTATGATTTTAATAAAGTAACTATGTATCAATATATGTTCAGCAACAGAAGATTTATCAACTAAGTGTTCTTTAAATATTACATCTATGTTTATTTTTCCTTACTCTACGTAAAATTTATTACATTTTTTACATTGTATTTTATAAATACTCAATTTCCCTCTTTCTTCTACTTTATCTTTTGGGTTAACAAATAATGTCTTAAATTATTACTCTTAGATGTTATTAAAGTAATACCAATATCTAAAAAATTTTAGCTAACCTATTCGAAATTCCCAAATAGTATAAAATAGGCGACCCCTAATTACTTTTTGTTCTCCCACAATAGTCAGTGTACTAACTACCTTCATCAATTCTTTATTCCACTTTTGTGTTCGGACTAATTTTCAAATTGCGTTTTCGTCATATCCATTAAAACTAGCTATTTATTAGCTATGCTTTAAACATATTCTAAGAAGGCAGTAATTGTTTTTAAAAATGTTTAGCAAAATTATAATTGTATCAAAAGTTATAATCGTTTTTAATTAGGTTTGAAACACTCTGTATATTACAATAATTTTAGAAATTCAATTTTAATTTTTAGACAAATTTGTGAGGCTAAGAGACCCTAGTTTCAATCTATTTACGCCTGTCCTAGGATATTAAAATATATATCTATTTTATTGATATTATGATGATTTTTATTGGATTTTAATTATTTCATTATGAATATTTTAATTATGGAAGATTCACCATGACATACCATATATCTATTTCTCTGATCAGATTACTTTTTTTCAATTAACAAAATTTAATTTATAATCAATTTCGGGTGAGTAAGCAAATAACGGTTATGGCGACGACCCGCGGGGACAGAGATTATGGAAATTTCTACTTCTCTCGCGCCAACTGTGTAGTTGATGTTTGCGATAATCACTTTAATTGAAAATGTTCCTCTGTCTCCTTATTGGGTTTACATTGTACGCGTATGTATTAATTCACCCTAACCATTGGTAGTAATTCACTTATAATAAATGTGCGCAAGCTGCGACAACTGATTCAGCAAAGATTCTTTGAAATGAACCTATAATTTGTCTTGTCGTTAGCACATGCCAAGCATAGCACACAAGTTAAGATTTAATCTTAACATAAAGGTCGCTAACAAAGTACACATCGACTAAGTATTAAAATTAATGCTATTTATAATTGTGTAAATATTTAATTATTAATTTTTTAAGAAAATTTAATGAAATCTTCGAATTAAAAAAATTTAAATTATTTTAAGTGTCTTGTATTTAAATTGTTGACGAAAACTCGTAGTTTAATACAAATTTTAAATTGTTACCAGTAAAAAAATTTGTTTTTAGGATGCAAGTAGTCACAGCAATCTTGGAGCAATGCTTCATATGAATGGAAAACATCGTGAAGCATTAACTAGTTACCAAAATGCCTTAAGAATATCGCCAAACGATCGGACAACTTTAGATAACCTAAACAAGTTAAGAAACGTCCTACGACGTAGATCTAGAGCGTGATGCTTTCTGTCGACTCAGCGTTTGAAAATTAATTTTTAATAACCTGTTATTGTTTCTTATAGTATATAAATATATATTTTTTTTAACTCCAAAATATAATTAACTTATGTAATGCTTTATAATGTATAATTATACTTAATTGTGTATTTATTTTAATAACAATATGTATGGATAAAATTATATTTATAAACCCTTTTAAAAAGATAGTTCATATCAGCGAATTAAGGTATGACAAATTACAATTAAACGTCACCTTACTTCATTCAACTATGAGATTTATATATTTTAAAGAAAATTTTTAAATTATGTGATTAAAAGTGGTGTTAAAAATAATAATATTTGTAAGCATTTTAAAATAAAATAATTAATAAATGTATACAATAAATAAAAAATTATTTATACACTAGATGTGTAATTGAATAAATATGTATTCACTGATTCTTTAAGTTCCTACAACCATTAAAATCATATAACCTAAATTATTTAATTTTATGCCAAACAAAACACGTTGCAAAATATTAAAATGCAACCAGATATCAAATACTACCCGAGGCATATTTATAAAAATTACATGTTTTTTATACAACGAATAAAGAGTAAAAAAAAACACAATTTTCTAATGTTACACTCATTTTCAGTTTTTTAATTTACATAGTGGATATAAAACTAAAAGACTCAAATTATCTCAACTTAACTATTAACATTTTTTGTTTTACGTTTTTATATCTATACTCACATTATCTGTAATAAAAAATTATATTAGACCAAAAATTATCATTAGTTATTATTATTTAATTTTAAATTGAATAAAAAATCTTATTATAAACTATTTACAAAATCAACTACAAAACATTCTCTTTTTATATAATTTACAATTATTTTTTAACCATACAACTAAACTTATTTGTAACATACTATGTATCTTTTGGTAGATCATAATACACCGTATGTTTAATAAAATAGTTTTAAGTAGGTTATTGTTATTTTTAACATGTAATACCTATATAATTTTACAATTTATCGCGTTTTTTAAATTACTTAGTTCATTTCCAAACAAATAAAATTTTACGCATGAAATTTTCCTTTAATAAATATTCTAATTTCCTAAAACTTAGTTATCCGTTTAAATAATATAAACACAAGTATTTACGAAATTGATTTTATACTGTATGAAAAAAATAAAATAAACTTTAGTATGATATTTGGAAATTGTAATATGAAATTATATTAATTAATATTGAATACAATAAATTTGTTTTTAAGTAATATAGTTTTTAAAAAATATATTTTATATTAATGAAATTAAAAAGAAAATTGTTCTACATGCATTGTATTAAATAAATTTATTTACACATATTTTAATTTAAACCAATTAAATAACTAAAGTTTATTTTATTTTTTNATTTTAATTTAAACCAATTAAATAACTAAATCATTAGAGAGTAATTTTATATTATTCTTTACATTGTTGGTGAATAAAGATATGAATAATATAAAAATGTAATTGGTTTCCTTTTTTTTTTTTTTGAATAATACAATTTTATACTTACTACATGCATGTAAATTTTGTAACTGCTGTTTGTTATGCTCAATATATTTTTAACTAAAATCATTTTTTTCTCATTCATACTATTTATTTATTTGAATTACTTTTGAAGTACATTATAGACACAGTTTTTTATATTTATTCTATTCTTTATAAAAAATTATATAAATTAATTAATTTTATATAATAATCAAAAACATTATTCTAATGTTACAATTACATCATCATATATGTATAAACAACATATTATAAATTAATATCATAATACAATTACACTAAGCTTGATAATATCAAACAAATAAAACAATCTTGTCAATATTATAATATATTTGTTATGTCAACTTATACAATAAATATAATGTATAATAAAGCGTCGTTATAATTAAGATATTTTGTACATTTTGTGTAAAGACAATAAAGCTAAGAAGTTATGAACACATTTTTGTATTGTTTTACTTTGTAATGCTAAGAGTAACAAAATACAAATTTTTTAATAATAACTTACTATAAATCAATGTTCATTTTGAAATGAACTTAACGATGGATCAGCACCTAAATGTGTTGGACCCTCTGTTTTTTATTGGTGGGCAACAGTACGGACTTCCATTAATATTGGTTTTAGAACAATATGGTGCGTCTGTATTTACAACACAATATACTCCTTTGATCCTAAATTAAATTATTACCTTTTTATTTTTAAACACTATTTTATGAAAATGTAAAATAATTAAAAAATATCTAATTCATTAAATACGTCTTCATAATATTCAATATTTAAAGAAATTTATACTATATGCAAAAAGCAAATGCTTGTCTGCACGTATGTGCAATTGATATGATTTTTAATATTCGCCGTGATTATTTTTGTTGATGTTCAATATGTAAAAAACTAATATAGCTTTTTTTTAATAACATTAAAAATAAAAAAAAAACACTTTTCAAAGTTTAAACCTTTAAAATGTAAAAGTAACATTACACTTCAAAAATTGACATATTTTATTCATTTTAGTTATTAAAATTAATTATATTTAAAAAATATTTATAACAAATATTAAATAATAGTTTCAATTTATAATGGTAATTAGTAAACTTGCCTGTCAGGCGTATGTTGTCCCAATAAAACATAAGGTATTTGACCAAGAGAATTAACAATTGGTCGATTTAAACCATCGCCTAAACATCTTTTAGTGCAAGGAAACGCTTTTCGAGCTAAATTTTGATTTAAACTCTCTGCGACGTAACACACACTTCGTGAATGACTACACAATTCAACATCTATTAAAAATTATAAAATAAATTATTTATTATTTACAGCATTCTAAAAAAGACTGCAAATCTTAATTTAAATGTTAATTTTTTTATTATCTATACTTGTTTATACGAAAAACAAAAACGGAGATGTTATGATCAGAGCTCAATGACCGTTTATAACTTCAGATATTCGAAAGTGGACTGTCTAAAATTTTTGTTATTATCCGTTCATCTTTGTTTTTATATCACAAGACAATGTACTTTTTGAGAAAACTTTTTAAAAGTGAATAAATACAATTAAAATCGAATTATTTATTGTTTTTGAACCCATCTCAAAGTATTTGTATTCATTTATATTAATTGCTTAATTAAAAATAAATATATTGCGTATGTTTTAACCTATATGATATTTTTCTCTATTACGGTACTGAAATAATATAAAAAAAATAAAATAAGCAAACTAACATTTAAACTTAGAAATATGCAACATAAATTTTCGCATTTAGCTTATTGGTTTTCTAAAACAAAATTATAACTCACATTTGTATTTTTAGAACCTTTCAAAAATATATGCAAGAGGTTATGAAGTCAGAATCATTGTAATTTATTTAAACATTTTTTATATTAACCACTGGACTCAATGATAACAATTTAAAACCCGAAACAAAATTTAAATGTTTTTCTCTCATTATATTAGGAGGATAGTTTTCCTTATACGTTTATCAAAATAACAATTAATGTAATCAGTAACATACCCTTAATTTTCAATAGGATAAAGCTTTATAAAAATAATTTTTAATGAATATTTTGTATATGTTTACTTGTTATGTATATTTCGTATAATTAGAGTCAATTAATCACTTTAAACTCAAACTTATGAATACGCTACTGAATTTACTGTTATTTACTTATTTTATATTAATTAATATTGAGAAGCTTTACTAGATGCATTAGAACAGAATGGTTGAATATGTCCACCATTTAAACAAAAGTCGACATGTCCCATCCTGCTTAGATCTCCATAATTCGCCGTTGCATGTATAACCTGAACAACGTTTGCATCTCCAGGGTCCAGTCGTCCAGCAGCCCTATTTCTAATTAATGGTTTTGCCGGATCTATACCTAGTTGATTATCATAATATTGTAAAAAACAATGGGTTATATAAAGCTTACAAAATCAAATAAATATCAACATGAATAGTGAAAAATTGTTAATCTAACCGATAAATTCTTTCGAGACAGTTCAAAAATAAATAAACAGAGACCAATGACGGGAATATTGTCAATGAGTGTAAAAATTAACCGTAACGTATGTGCGTGACTAGACTAGATAACACGTGATGACCTCTATTTCTTACCGATAATCCTATGCATCCGAAAAGGTAAATAGTTGGCTATCACACCACAAACATGTGCACCTAAGCTGTGACCTACACACGTTAACTGATCAACATTCAGTCCAGCGTTTCGCAAATGAGAGAGCATCAAAGCTATACACTTGGACACTGGTCTTATGTTATTAACAGCAGCACCGTAACAAGGTATTGCTGAAAGTCTTCCCCAATCTACTAGGAATACATTATAGTTACCGTTCGACAAATAAGCTGAAAATCAAACCAAATTATTAAAATCTCTCAATAATCTTGAAATTTAAGGTAACAATTTATGTAAGGTCTAAACCAAAACCTATTCGCCGTTTTTCAATAAAGTGATATTATACAATATCATAAATATATACGTTCATTTAACTGAAAGGAAAAATTAATTTTTTTTTAATGTATGAATAAAAATTACCATCTCTCAGCACAGCAGCGGGTAAAAAATCCTGAGAAACACCTCCATACCCGTGAACTATAAGAACAGTCGGTAGAGAATGTTCCCATCCACTGGAGTGAAGCCATGCAGGTGATCTAAATTCGATTTTTTGTTTTACAGTTTTGGGTCCGTTAGCCGTATATCTAAAAAATTTAATTATAAATTACTCAATGTTTACAAATTTTATAAAATTTTACAGTTAAGAATGATTTTAAATTTTAACATTTTAAATTAAATTTGTTTTGTTTTAGAAATTTTATTTAAAACTAATTGACGAGTAATGATACAATTTTTTTTATCAAGACATGTTTTAAAAAATATATATTGAATTTTTTTATGTTTTTTAATTTTTCAGAAGTTTATTGACATTACTAAATTTTAACTCAAGTATACCTTATTGTATAATAATGAAACAAAATATCATCGCCAGGGCATGAATCGTTCGAATCTCTTCTGTATATACAATCTTCTCGTGTTACATTACCAGTTTGCAAACCAAAAAGCAATGCATCTTGTATCAAACCTCTTCCTCTGAATGTACCTAAACATTTGCGATTTTATATTTGATATAATATTGTAATGTCAAATTATTAAATTGTCGTCTCAAAGTGTAGATAAATAATATATAGCACTTAAATTCTACTATTTTAGCTTCGATGCGAAGTTGAGAAGGTATTAATTTTACTATGATGTGTTTTTTTATTTTTTTTGTGTGTCTGTTACCACTTTTTCTCAGCTCTTACCGAACCGATTTCTTTCAACGATACGTCAAAATATCACAAAACGTATATAGTCGAAGACATTACCACAAAAAATTGAAAAAATTTTCCTCGTTCCTCGTAAATGGGCGAAATCTTCAAAAAAAAATACAAATTTAAAAATCACTAATTTTTGAAATTTTTTTAAATTCTTTTTCTTAACACTGCCATAACTTTTTCAAAAATGACCAAATCAATATAATTTTTTTTTTATATAGATGTACGATGTCTTTACTTATCATTTTGTATATATTTTTTTTAAATCTAACCTTTAACCTGCCCATAGAGGGGGAATCAAAATGACATTATTTCACAAAAAATTAACTTTTTCAACTTAACTTTTGAAAATGTTCTGGAAATGCTGAAACTTTTATATATTTCTTAATACTAAATATAATATACTTTATTATGAAAAAAAAATGTTGGACTTTATTTAATCTTCACGTTGAAAATAATTACCGAATGATATTTTTCTGTTAAAATTCTCGATTTTATATTTTACATTTTTAACTTTATAATGTTATAACTTTTTGAAAAATGTATGGGTCAATACAATTTTTTTATAAGAAATAATATTTATATACATCTTTCATATGACATACTTTTTTTTAAATCAGACCATTTCCCTTAATACAGGGAGGGGGTTCAAAACTTAAAAATGCATATAGAAAAAAGAACTATTTCAACTTAATTTTTGAACGTGTTCCGGAAAAATTTCAGACTAGTTTGATTTCATGGAGAAAACTAACATCAAAGTTAATAGATAGTATATTTTCCTAATAAATAAAAGTTTTTAATAAAATGAAATTATTGTTATAAAAAAAATTACTCAGAGTAATATTTATGTAATATCCTTTAAATTATTTTAATCACTTTGTCTTATACTTTAACTATTAACTTAATATATATATATATTATAATGATCATTATATACCAAGCTATAATACACAAAAAAATTAAATATTATGTTAAGATCAATTGTTGGATAAAGTTAATCACTTAATGGCAATTCTTTTATTTAAAATTTACATAAATTTTCTTTCATAAGTAAAACATGTATATCTGCATATTTCAAATTTAATTTTTTTTAATAAAATACACTTTACTCACCACAAACAGAAGCAACTAACATCAAAACACTTATTGTTATTTGTAACATAATTCAATAGAATAAAATAAAATTATCTTTTCGGTTTTAATATTTTTCGATGCAATTTACTCAAATTATAATATTTATACGACTCTTCATTCCTGCAGCTTCATAACGAAGATAATCAAAACAATGAATTACAATGACTATAAAAATGAATGATAATGGTAAAGTGCATAGTGCTAAATAATGATCGTATACTCTGAAGTCCCCCCCTTTGTGATTTAATGTAGTGGGATATTCGTTAGTTACATTCGATTAACCTACCGCTATTTTTATTTTTTAATTTATTATGCTATACATGTACTAGCTATTATTTTTGACACATATCTAGAAACACGTAGTTGACAGTTAGAATAGCGTTTGTGTTTTACAAATAAGACATTTTTCTAAAATTTTTAATGTTTATTTTTACACGAACATTTAAAAAAGAAAATATATTCAGTTTGTTTATCAGTAAACGACAGATAAGAGCAATAATAATATAACTTCAAGACCAAGCTTTTCAATCTTTCAGTTTCTATTTACCTTTTATTAGGAATATATTGCTTTAATTATGTAATAATATGTTTCAAATGTAATGTTTAAATTTTGAACAATTATTAAATTATTATTTTAATTTCTCATAAAGTCCCTAAAGACTGTATTGTTTTTCTATAAGGACCAATATGAATATATAGTTCTTACTGACCTCTTAAATTTTTTATAAATTGAATCTAAAATACATGAATTAAATAGATAAAATTAATAAAATACTACTGAAAAACTTGGTCTAAATATTTATAAGACAATATTTATAATGTTTATTATTATTTTATTGATGGTTATTTCTCAGTAATTTGTTTGGTTACGGTTGTTGTAGTTATTTTTGGTGGACCGGTTGAACTCCAACTCTCTTCAAAAGATTCTTCAGATGAGAACTGTTGTGTAGAAGACATTACTGTTCGTTTTTTAATCCCACCACCAGGTGTCTTTTCAACCGTCTCCGATACAGTAGCCGAGGTTTCTTGAGACTGTTTACTTTTGGCTTTTTGTTCTAAATGTGAATTTGCAGTATCTTTTACAACCTGTAAATATATGCATAAATATTTAATAAAAACTCTACGACTCAATAATATTGTAGTTATTATGAAAATTCCATTGTTAATCATTTTTTTGACACTCTAATATTATATATCTTCTACTTAATCACTGTATAATGATTAGCGATCTCTAATTTTCATAAAAAAATTTAATTATTTTTTCCTAAATTATAAAGTAAAAAGTAAAATAAAATGAACTTAATGTTCAACTTATGTCAATAAATATCAAAGATATGTTAATACCAACAATACAGAGTAATAAATATATATATTTAAAGTTCTCAGAAAAATGATCAATGTATAAAATTTAAATTTTTTGTATAACACAAATCAAAGTTTTTAATACTTAATAATAATAATTTTTAATAATTGTTGTTTTTTATCAAAATATTTCTTACGTTCCATAGATATCCTCGAGATTTGTACAAATGTTAAGGCTTAACAGAACATAAGAAATCAGACATAATTAAAATTAAAAAAAAAAAAAATACTGGGAAAAATCAAATATTGCAAAAGTACAAAACTATTATTTTATTATTACTTATTTAGCAATACTTTTAACATTATACCAAATCATATACTTTTTTATATTTTCAAACAGTGATTTAATAACAATATTATTCCTGGTGATGTACAGAATATATATAAGAAAAAATTTTCTCTATCCCATCAAAATGAAAAAATCTTCACAGAGTAATTATTTTTATTATATGATGATATAACTAATTTTTTCAAGAACCAATGAACTTATATTTGTTTAAAAAAAATTTAATTTTTAACTAATAGCTTTTTAAAAGAAAAGATTTTCTGAGCCTATTTTTAATGATTGTATCTATGTGTTTGCACTACCTCTTTGCTACGTTCTGACACCTCGGATGTCTCTTCGGTTGCCGATACTGTCTGTTTGTCGGAAACAACTGGTTTCTTTTCAACTGTTTGTACTTCCATGTTTATATAATTACACTATACTTATTATTAATTAAATATACAAATATAAAGTTTAATTTAGACCTATACTTTTAATACAGAATTGTATGTATAAGTTAATCTTTTTTTTTATAAACACTGCGAGCAACAGGAGGAAGTGGTTTAACGACTTCTACTTCTTCCTCGTCGTCTTCTTCTTCTTCGTCGTCTTCGAAATCAATATCAATTTCTTCGTCTGATAATTCTTCTTCACCAGAATCGCTATAATCCCTAATAATATTTCAAAACAAATGTTAAACCAATAAACTTCAGTTTGGATTCGAAAGTCTTTAAGTTGCAAGATAAAAAATGTTTAATTACGAGATGAAAATATAAATTTACATTGATTTCAGGCGGGTGCTTTTGGCTAGCTAAGGGTTTATTTGGTTTTGTTCAAATAAACCCTTCAGGCCAAAATATAAAATAATTAACCTAAAAATTTCTCTAGTATTTTTAATGGATTATGAGATATTTGCTTAGCTATAATAATTTAAATATTTAGACACACCTTTGTCTTTAATAGAAAATATTAAATTTCAAAAACGTTTTATATCATAATATATGTTCGAGAAAAAAAATTAATTTGACACAATTTTTATAGAGTGTAACTATACCAAATAATTTAATATAGTTTTTTTTCAATATTTAAAAGTTCTAAATTAGAAATAACTCTAAATATTTACATCTTAAAATCAATCATTTTTGTTTTCGTTCATTAAAATTTGTCGATTTATTTAAATTTTTCATATAAAATAAAAAAAAAACCCAGCACAGGGGGGTCGCGGCATAGTTGGATCAAGTATAATGATATCTGACAGTGATTAAAATCACTATAAAAAAAAACGCTTCGATGCAAATCTTGTGTTTAATTTTAAAAAATTGGTGGATTATTCTAAAAGCTACATGATCTGCTAGTTCCTTATTAATATCCTGATTAAGATAAAGTATGTCAAATGAAAAAGGGAATATTAAAAAATATTATTTCTCATAAAAAAATTATGTTGATCCATACACTTTTTAATAAGTTATAGCACAATAAAGTTAAAAATGTAAAATACAAAATCGAAAATTTTTACACAAAAATAGCATTTGGTAGCCATTTTCACCGTGAAGATAAAATAAAGTCCGAAATTTTTTTTTACCATTATAAAATATATTACATTAGCTTTAATTTAAGATATATATAAAAGTGTCAGACTTTCCGGAACATTTTCAAAAGTCAAGTTGAAAAAACTAATTTTTTGTGAAAAAGTTGTCATTTTAAATCCCCCCTGTGGGCAGGTAAAAGGTCAGATATAAAAAAATATAAATAAAAAATATACCAAATGAAAGGTAATGATATCATGCATCTATACAAAAAAAAATTATATTGATTTGGTTCTTTTTAAAAAAGTTAAGGCAGTTTTAAGTAAAAAAAATTGAAAAAATGTCGAAAATAAGCGTTTTTTAAATTCGTAATTTTTTTGGAGGTTTCTCCCATTTACGGGGAACGCGGGAATTTTTTTCAATTTTTGAGGGTAATGTCTTCGACTAAATACGATTTGTGATCTTTTGACGTATCATTGAAAGAAATCGGTTCGGTGAGAGCTGAGAAAGTGGTAACACACAAAAAAAAAAATAAAAAAATAAACACATTTTAGGAAAACCAATACCTCCTCAGCTTCGCATGGAAGCTAAAAAAAATTAAATATTTAAAATAATATACTTTGGTTTACAAAAAAAATTAGTATATATTAGTAAAGCTCAAAAATTTTAATGAATTTTAATATAAACGGTTAACTAAAAATCAAATCTAAATAGCAGTTTATGATAACAACACAGAAGCAAAATATATTATAGTTAAATTATGTGCAATGATTTGTGCTTTGGTATATACCATAATTTCATTTTTCAAGTACCAAAGTAACAAAATCTATAACATAAAATTTGAGTTTATATACTAAGTTTTCCTAGACTAAATAATTATTGTATAATCACTATAATTTTTATTCTATCAGATATTTTACTAGTTCAACATTTAGTATAACACTGAAAGGACAATGATTTAATTTCAACTTTCATATAAGTAAATTTATCCCATTGTACTAAAAATGTGCTACCTAGAGCCTTTGCTTCTTTGCACCTCTTTAAATACGCTACTCCTAGAATGTCTAATATTTTAAAATATATGGGAAGTTTAATAAATTAATTGAATTTAAAAAACTAATTGCCTATTAATATTTGGTGTCGTTGTTCCAATTAAATCAAAAATTTAATTCTTTTTTCATAATACAGCTGTATTGTAATATTACCCTTGGAAAGAAAATCATGATTTCAAGATAATAAAATCAAAATTATTTATGCATTAAATACATACACATATCTTAAAATTTTCGTTCAAGTTATTTATGTAATCTTGAGTTTACATTAAAATAGATTGAAAAATCAAATGTATTTAAGCAAGAAAAATAAAATTAACTACTGCAAAGTTGATTAAATTAGTTACTCTAGGCTTTATCAAAACATTGTGTAGTGTTAAAATGTGTAAATAAAATAAACTACAAAACATTTAAATAGTGCTGAAATATTTTCATATTTTTTAACAGCATATTACATTACATAAAAGTTTAGTACTTTCAACAATATTAATGTATTGAAATAATAAAATATGTAAAATTAATAACTATTCTAAATGAGTCCTTCACGTAATTTTATTCGTTTAATCAATTCCTCAACAACTTACAATTGTTGCTCTTGTATAGTTTCTTGGTGCCCATTTGTTTGTTCACTAAAAAGGAAGTTGTCTATATTGTCAGTCTTTGAAACACCACTTTTTGAACTACTCGTAGTCTCAAACAATAATTCTTCATTGTTGGAAAGTTTTGATTTACTATCACCTTTTTCTATCACAACAAATTCATTATTTTTATCTGAATCCGTGCCATTAACGTGGGATAAAATAGAATCTTTTTCACCTTTTTTGGATTCTTCCACTTTTTTAGGTTCTTCTACTTTCTTGACCTCCTCGACTTTTTTAGGTTCTTCTACTTTCTTGACCTCCTCAACTTTTTTAAGTTCTTCTGCTTTTTTAGGTTCCTCTACTTTTTTAGGTTCTTCTACTTTCTTGGCCTCTTCTATTTTTTTTGGTTCTTCTAATTTCTTGACCTCTTCTACTTTTTTAGGTTCCTCTACTTTCTTAGATTCCTCATTTTTTTTTGATTCTTCTACTTTTTTTGGTTCGAATTTTCTAGTATCCTCAATATTTTTAAGTTCATCTATTTGTTTAGGTTCAACTACTTTTTTAGGTTCTTCTACTTTTTTAGGTTCTTCTACTTTTTTAGGTTCTTCTACTTTCTTAGGTTCTTCTACTTTCTTAGGTTCTTCTACTTTCTTAGATTCTTCTACATTCTTATGACTTTCTTTGTCCTCACATTTAGGAACTACAAAAGGATTTTCTTTTTTGGTAGATTCATTTTCTTTAACATCATTATTAGAGTTTGAAGTAAGGCGCTCATTTCCTTTATTTTCTGCGATATTTGCTACCTTAGTTGTACCCTTTTCATTAGAAACAAAGTCATTTATTTCAATGACCTTACTTTTATCATCATCAAGCTTTAAATTTTCATTTTCTCTGGTAATGAAATCATTAGTACCTTTTGAATTTTCAGGAACTTTAATGTCTTCATATCTAGGAGGTTTCGTTTTTTCATCGGGATTGAATGTAATATCATCATTAGCGATTTGTTCAAAATCTTCTGTTAATTTAATATCATATTCATCATCATCATCATCTTCTTCTTCTGCATCAATTTCTTCAATATCTTCATCTTCATCACTTACATACTCTTCGTCTTTCAGATTATCAATGTCATTTAATTCATTTTTCATTTGAGGAGGCACATCCTGGATAGATTCTTGATTTGAATCCTGTAAAAAAATTACCAAAAACAAAAGGATTAATTTTTAAAACAAAATAGTTCCTTAATTTAAATTAATAATTTTTTTCTGTTTTCTAAAAAAAAATAAACGACGATTTTAAAAAAGTTGAAATAAATATTGATTACTTTCCATTTCTAAAATATACATTAATATTTCGTGATGAGTAAACTTAATATGATTATGAGTTAATATAATATGTTCAAATACGGTCTCTCTTTAAAATTTATTAAAAATATTCACATGTATGTAGGTATAACATTGAACATTGTTAAAAATTTTAATTTGTAAATCACTATTTATTTTATAAAAAAATCCAATAGGTAATTCAAATTTGAATTTATTAATTAAACTAATATTTAAATGTCTACCGAGTCAGAGGATGTCTTATGGCTAAAGTTTTTTAGTGGAAAAAATTTTATTAGAGAAGTCTTTAAGCAACACATCACCAATGATATCAATTTTTTAAATACTGATCTATTTCAATAGATTAACAAAATTTGTACCTATAAAACAGAAATATTAAGTTTATATTATTTAAAAAATATTTGAGTTCTTTAATGAAAAAAAACACTGACAAAAATAAACAACATCGGACTTATGCTTTAAGTTCTTATACATTTTATAAATATTTATAAAATGTACAAATTAGGTTCATAAATATTCATTTTAAAAAGTAGATATTAAAAAATGTGGGTGTCATACGAATACATGACTTTCATAAACTAGGTAGCAAAATAGTGTTAAAAATATTGAGTCCGTATATGAATAAAAATTAACTAATTTCGATTTGCATATCATTCGTGTATTAAATGAAATAGTATTAGTCACTTATTAGGTGTGTTTAGTTCGAAATCCAAGGTTAAATCGAAATACGTGGGATATTTTAACTCAAATGAAAAACGAGTAGGTAGTCTGTTTAAAAATAGCGACGCATAAATTTCTCCGATTAAAATCAGTACTCTAAACCATATCGAAACCCTAAAATGCACTAAAATTGAAATTAAATCTAATTGAAACTTAAAATTGATATACATTTTAAAAAATGGAATTTATTTATATTCAAATATTTTAATCATACAAAATATTTTAGGGTTTTATTTATTAGATAACTAGATAGTTAAGGAAAATAAATGTGGAAAACGTAATGCATACATACGTTATTTAAATATATAAAATTAGTAAGATAGTGGAAAACAAGTCCTATTCAAGTTTGTAAATTTATATTCATATTACGTTAAATCTTTAACAAAAAGATTAGAACTAATGTGTCATCTTTAGTTTATTATTTGATGAGTTGAACACCTCGGAAACACGGTTTATGAATAATAGAATGGAAATCAAAATGACAAAAATGCACTCTTTACTTAGAATCTAATCAACATTAAAAACGGTTTAAACTAAAAAACAATGAGTCATGCATGACGTGTATTCAAGAGCACGTCTGCCGGCGAACGAATATTTTTTGTAAGTAAATAAAATGTTTAAAAACATAAATCTTTATTGTAATAAATGTAATTTACAATGTTATATATTTGTATAGAGTCGCATTAAAACCGATCAGTACTAATACAGTTAAAATATTTGAACTTAAAATGTAAAATGTATATAATTGAAACACGAATTCATCCTATACAAATGCAACATAACGTGTGTTTTCTATTCATTTCAACCAATTATGTTGTACAAAAAATTTGATAAAATACTTTAATTAATTTTATTAAATTAGAAAATATTAAAAGAATAAATGAAAATCAAAAATTAATTTTACAAATGTTGTTTTTCTACAAATAACAACATATCAATACTGAAAAATGAAAATATTAAGATTAGATAGAGAGTGCATTTTACAATATAAAATAATAATGAAACACTTAAAAAATATAACTTCAACAGTTCTATTTTAATAATAACAACGGAACTAATCAACGGATTTACGATAAAACGTTTAAAGTCTTCAGTAATGTTATAATTTAAAAATGCAATTTAATTACTGAAGATGTTTTTTTTTTTTACTTAAAATAATAACGTTTAAGTTAATTACTTCTGTTTTGCTCCGAACAAAACAGTTATTCAATGAACGATTCACAATAATACCATAATGATAAATTAAGAACTATAAATAAACTTATTGCATAACTTATGCATTGACTCATATTATTATAATTCACAAACAATCTACGTTCTAAGATTACTCGACTAAAAAAATAATACAAATTTTAGTAGTGAAAATTTTTTTTTTTTAGACTTCTTGAAGTAATAAAATTGGACGTCCCAAACATGTTCAAACTGCACTTATGTTACTGTCAAAACTACTCGAATTTGTTTTTGTATAGTATATCTAGTCCTTTACATTCATGATCATCGATCAATATCGATTTTTGTATAAGCTTTTAAATTGTTTTTACAGCCCTGAAATTTTTAACCCACTCGACAAGCAAAGTGATCAATATTTTTTATAAGAAAATTAATCTATCACTTATTGCTTAGAATTATGTGTATTAGAATAATAGAGAAATAAAAATAAAAGTTGGTATAATAAGTGCATAGTTTTTTAATTAAGATTCTAAATGTTTTTATAATGTTAAGTACGAACAAAATAATCTACAGTTAAATAATACCAGTAAAAAAAAAAAAAATTAAATGAAGTATAATTTTTTCAATTTAAATATTTGACAATATTTTTTTATGGAACAGCTATTTACAGTCTTACAATGACCAAAAAGTTCATTTATAAGATTCGACACAGAAACAAGAAACTACTGATATGATTTTCATGGAAAAAACCTCAACAATTGAATAAGAAGTTAATAATAATGAATTCTAAAAATGTACATCGTAATAACGTCAATAAACAGTCCTACACTATAACAATAAATATATAAATTCGTTGTTTATACAACTTAGAACCATCGTAGCTCTGTAAAAATAATATTAAAAATAGATAACATTTTTTTCTTTAAAAAAGTAATAAGTTAAAATAAGTTATACTTAGTTTTTTAAGAGTTATGACAAGTTAAGGATAGCGCTTCATACGAAATGTATTGTCGCTCCCCAAAAATGGAATCCTTATTGTCACGCGCCTTTTATAATATCGGCCGTAAGTCATCAACAGAAAGTCTACAAAAAAATTTCGCCACCAAAATTTATCTTATTTTTTAAATTAATGAACAAAAAGGTGTCATAGCTGTGTAGTCCTTTAAACAAATTTGTTTTTTTGTTTTAAATTTTTTTTCTCTATGAAAAAAAATTGAAAACTTGAGGTAAAATTTTTTCTATATGTAGGTACTAAGTTTTTTTTTTTACTAAATGCAATCAATGTATTGATTGTAATGTATTGTGGATTGATTACGTGATTTTTGGAAAAACTACATTTTGCTCAATATAACCACCATCAGTTTTGATTATTAGGGTATTATGTTTAGCATAGGCGGAAACTACCAGGCCAAGGGGCACAGGCTAATTTTTGAAATCTTTATTTTTAAAAAAGTTAACATTGTTAAAATAATATTAATAAATAAAAAATGAATTACTCATTGTGTACATAACCTTCTTCGCTGCCATACAACAAATCAATAAATAACTCCATCATAATTGCCCCCGTAAAATTTTGATATAATATAAGTCAGAGCATAGCTAGACGGGTAGAGGTCAAAATCACCTAAGGTGAAATATTTACGTTACAAAGATACAGTTATACTTCAATTAGGTTAAATTGTAAAGTATTACATTTCCCACCTACAAGAGTAGTAAGAAAAAAATCGGAAACTATTGATAATTTCCCAAAAACCCAAAAAATAGTTTATAAAACGTTATTTATAATTTTAAATGTTTTTAGAGAGGCTAATTTTACTTTTGGTAAGGCATAACACTCAAAATCTATAATTTCTACTCGTGAAAATATTATAAGCACACTGTAATGGGTTGTTGTTAATAAGTAGTTACATAAATAATGTCACCTTACGCCTACTAGTGACCGTTAAGTTCGTGTCCTATATCAGTAACAAGTGAATGCATGAGACGTTCCTATAAATAAGTGTCCGACTGAGCTAATAAGGTAAAGTAAAATATTTCGTTTAATTTTAAAATAATAAAACTTGAGATAAATTTTATTTTAAAAAACACAAATCTTTTTAAAACGTTGAAAACTCACAATTCATTTACGTGATTTCCTAGAGTTTTATTATGATCATTATTATAAAAAGATTAATTTTAAACGCACACTGTAATTATATGAAATCAAAAAATCATCTCAAAAGAGTACAATATACGGTAAAGTCATTGCGTTCAGACATCCTCTACGCCTCTTCTCCCAATGAACTATCATTTCCCGTCGCCCACCAGTCTGTACGCCAAACACATGGTTGTCGCCTCACGCGGCTTCTTAAATACTATTTATGTGCGCCGGAGCCGGTGCCAAAGCTATGCAGCTCGTAATACACTCACGCGCACACACAAATAGCCAAGTCCCGAACATATTGTACGCTAAAAACTTAATGAAAATATAAAAAAACCAACTTACCTGTCCGAAGAAAAAGTTCCACACGAGCAGCAGGTACCGTTTCAGAGCGTCGAACATGATTATCGTGTCGACCTTCTTTTATGTCATGAACAGCTTAACGTATATGCGGTGATAATAACACGCTTGGGGTTGACCGACAAAACAATGCGCCCAAAAAAAAACAATAACAGTCTCAATTCAAGAAAAAACGCGAGCAGAAACGTCCGGACGAACTGGACGCTCAGCAATAATATGTCGACCGGACGGATATCGTCAGAACAACGGCAATAAAATCAAATATTAATAACTAAGTGGGATCCGATTGTATTTCCCGACAAACGCACTGACTGACGACTAGGACGCACTAGACGGACGGAACGCAAATGCACCGCACGATGGATCGTTTGAGTTGTAAGTGTGAGCATTACGTGGATGTGGAGGAGCAGAGGGAGACAAGAGAACGGACTTGGATGACGTCACTCTGCTGCGGAAACCTAATAATAATTTGTAACGCCGCTCGTGCAGCAGACAAGAGTAATTTTTTGTCACTATTGTCGTTGCATAAATTGCCATCCGCAGTACGGTCAATCAACAGTCGATGTCTGTCTATTTCATAATAATTATAGTCTAAAAAATTTCGTTGCCTTTGTTTGCCGACCTCGTTAAAAAAATTTTCGAGGCGAGATAGTTTTAAACGGGTGTTAGCAGTATAAAAGATTTTTAGTTGCAGCGACCTTGAAAATCATTCGATTAATGCAATAACTAAGGTTAAAAACTATACTCTGATGTATCATTGAAAATGTCTGTTGTTTAGTGAGTGGACAATGAATTGGTTAAAAAATAAATATAATTGTAACTTAGTCAGTAAATGTGTCAATCGTATAATTCAATAATTAAAATAAGACAATTGATTAAACATCGACTTGTTACTTAGATATTTGAGTAATTTCATTTTCTTTAAATTTATGATTGATTATTTATTTGATAAATTATTTGATAATCCGTAATACGAGATGTGCACACTTGAAAATTTCATTGTTTTTTCATTTTACAATTGGGAAATATTAAATTAACTAATAAACGCATTATGATAGAAGATACACCCTAATTTTAAATTTAATTTGAATTTAAAAAGTTTTCACATTTCTCTTAACAAAAATTAATGGCTATAAGTAGGATATGTTTAACTTATATATGTTATTTTTTTTTAAACAATACATACAATAGTCTCTCTTTTATTATTTTAAGAAAACCGAATACGATTCACAGGAATTCAAGTATCAAAACATTTCGACCAAAATATTTGCTTTGTCTAAAACGATGGAAATTTAAAATTCAACAAAAATCTTATGAATAGTAAGCGATCAATTTTTTAGAATTGATCGAGTATTGATGTTATTATAACCCAAAATTGTAAGACGTTGTTACATAATACGAAAAAATATTAATTTACATAAAATATATGGTTTATGTGTTTCAATTTTCTTTTCGAATGCGTACATAGTGATATAAACTAGTTTTTTGTTTGGTAATCACGGAAAAAATTATTTAAAAAAGTATTATTTCGTTTTATTTTAGTTTACTATAGCTGCTAATAAATAATGTAAAAGCCATAAAGAGATTATTACTAAATTTTTAAGTTTTTATTTTATTTTACGAAAAAAAATTTAAGGATAAATATTAATGCTATTATTATATTATTTCACATGAGAAATACACATAAACCAGCTTAAGATAATTTAATGCCTAACATTGCTGCATTGTATAAATACTGCATTTTAAACAGTCATCGTTCCAAATGTTTTATTTGTTTACTAGTTACATATGATTCTCGACAGTTTTTACATTAAGTGGCAATATGATTTTTTAAAATTATTATGAACGACACGATAAAAATATTTATGATGTTACACGTTGTACAATATATTAGATATAAATTAAATGTAACAATAATTATTTAAAAGTAAGACGCATTTCCCAGACAATTGCGATTTGCCAAAAAAGTTTACAGTACAATAGTCGCACTAAATGTTATAAATATTTCAAAGGCAAAAACTTTTTGTGTACAATTTATATTAGAAATTTCCAAGACTAATGTGTCACGTATTTAAAAAAAGTTATTTTAGCGAGTTGGCACGAATACATACCAGAATTTTTCTTAAACTTATATCACTAATTATAATTCTTATCTTTAAAATAATTAATTGCAATTTAAGGGCATTTTCTTTTAAGCTGATAAATAAAAAAAGTGTTCGAACATTGTACAATTACAATATCACGAAAATTGTCAGGATTCAATTACTGTTATTCATGTTAATAAACCAATATGGAAAGCCTGTGACATTTTAAATTGTAATTTAAATTAAAAAAACATATGAGTTATTGGCGTTGTTCCAAAACAGATAAAATCGCTTATCTTAAAACATGTGTCTTTTTTTTCTCGTATTTATAATTTTAATTAAATCAAAATCTACATACATATACTTGTTTAATCATACTTAGCTTATTGAATTGTAAATAAAGTAATATATCTTTAGTTACAAACACTGTAAAAATCTGTTAAATTTTCTAAAAGTCAAAATGTGTTTTTCTTGTTAAGTTTAATTTTAGATAACAATTGTCAAGAAGACTTTAAAATTAATAAAAAAAAAAGGTAAAAAAAACCACGTATCTAATTTATATCCCATATGTGAAATTATAGCCGATATTGTTTATTAACGTCAATTATGGCAGATTAAAAAAAAGTATGGAAACCCTTAAAGGTTCAATTCATGTAGAAGTTTTTTAATAATAGCAACAAATGAGGATTTGGCACTTGAAGAACATTTTATTTTAAAATATTGAAAAATTTCATCATCGTTAAAATCGTTAAATAAATTTGAAAATGCTTTAGTCTGTAACACGGGTATAGTTATAAAGGGGGTGGAAACTATTTCATTATGAATTTTTTTTTAACATATAATCTAATTGTATTTAAAATAACAGTGTGGGCATTTATGTATTAACCTCACCCATAAATAATCCAACATATAATCCGCCTGTAGTATATGTATTATTTAATCAAAAATAAGTTACTTAAACTATTGCAAATAATTTGCACTAAATAAACATAATTATTAACAGTAAAAAAGATATTGCAAGTGGTATTACACTTAAAACCGTCATTATTTATAATAACTGAATCCATTAATTAGATCAACAACACGTGTACGAAAAAAGAAAAATATATTTTAAAATGTTGAATATATATTAAATTTTGCAAAATAATTAGAAAGCTTGTAAAGTTTTTAATGTGTGAAAATTTGTTATCATATTATATTGAATTTACAAACGCTAAATATAAAAAAAACAATCGTATTGTTAAGTAATGGATTTTCTATTTTAAGCACCAATCTCCAGGAAAGTTTAGTTATTGGCAACTTACACAAATTAGAGTCTCTCAAAAAATATTTACTCATGCCAGACATTCCATGAAACATATGGACCTATAGAAATAAATAATTTATACTCGCCGAAAAAAAATTCCATGAAATAATAACATCATTTATAGGATAATGACTCTCATTTATGATCATTATGACATTGAGTTAAATTAAATGTTTTATTTTATTTTCTAGAAACCTCATTATGTTCATAAAAAATTAAAATTAGACATGAAATTTTGAAATTCTCAGTTTTCAACTAATTCTTTAAAGAACGCCATGAACATTTATATTAACAAATAGAGAGTATTAAATAGACAACTTGTTTCTTTTCTACCATTTTTTGTTAATATCGATAGAATTTTGTATTTAATTTTTAATTCATTAGATATAAAAGTTTGTTCAAATTAAAAGACAGAATTTTATTCAACAGCTGCTTATTAAAAAAAAAAAAATGAATCCAACTAATAAATAAGGTTAATTTAATGAATCAAATAAAATATTTCAAAAAACTTTATTTATTCTATAATATCTAAGTATAATATTATGTAAAATATAATTTTTTAGTATTTATCACAATAATAACCATATAAAAATTACAATATCAATATTAAAATCTTGTAATAATAAAACATCATCTATATTTTTAAGTATAATATTGCAGACCACGTTAAACTTTTCATAATTTGCTCAAATAATATAAATTAAATTCTTGTTAAATTTAATACAAAAAAAAATATATCTTTATAGAAAATTTTGTTGGACAAATTATATCCATTTTTATCATTGCACAAAATTTATACTATTATAGCTAACAAAACTTAAAGAAACCTAATAGGAATTTATAACTATGCTGTATTTTTATAAGTATGGGCAGTAAACGATAAAAAAAACATTATTAAATATTAATGATATTAATGAAAAAAACAAATATACCTAGCAAGAAATTAAATATTTTGCTCAATACTTAAATAGCATCTAAATAAATAAATTTATTATAACAAAGTATTAGTTTATAAAGAATTTTTAAAAGTTATCTACTTACCAGATTAATTAAATTGTAGTCGCCAAGTATGTGCGCTATGAGAGTGCGACAATAACTTGTTTCGAATAATTCTAGACACTTAGTGACCAGCAAAAATGTGTGTGAAAATAGTACTGAATTTCTATTTAGATATCTTTTGAGGGAGGGACATACAATAAACGGGATTTATGCCAAAAATAAGTTGACCCGTTAAGAGCTTTATTTTGGTCACATATACTACCCATTATTGTTCTAGAATATTACGAATAATTCCATTAATAATGTGCTTACTCAATACTAACTCACCAGATATATGATGAAAACAACAATTATACTTTGGTGACTAAAAATATTTAAACACAATTTAGTGATAAAAAATGTTGGCACATTAAGTTCATTTATGATTTATTCAAACAGAAAAAAATAAATTGTCAAATAAATTTTCCGGAGAAAATTCCAAAAATATTTTTGTATCGTTCTAAATAATCGAGAAAAATATCATCAGTACAATTTTGATCGTGAAAATTATTATAAGTAGTTGTTTAAAATAGAGTTTTTTTTCATTCTTGACTAAACTTTTAAAAAATAATACAGTATTTATCACAATATTACAGCATCATGTATTTCTCATAAACCTAAATTTATTAAGAATATTTACATCATAAGATATTTTTAATATAAATATTTGTTTATTTATTCAAAAACAAATAATTCAATGACTTTTCTAATCTTATCTTACAACTGGATTAATTTAAGCCATGTTGTTACGTGGAAAAATTTTAGTGGAATAAAAAAAAATTTAAGTCTGTTTTTTAACAATACAATACAATTATCAATAATAGCTCATTATTTGAATATGAAAAACGTTGCAATAATCAAGGCTTGAAACACAATTATTTATTTTGTTTTTACGTTATGACAGTTAAAACTTTAACAGTATTATTACGTTTTAAATAATTAAAATGTTTTGGATTTATAATGTTTTGCATTTTGCTCTATTTAAACAGTATCAATTTGTTGTTTTACGTTTTTTGTATTCAAACGTTATTAATAATTTTTTTACCTTATAATAAATTAACCAGTCATTACTCACATGTGAGATAAAACCTCACTTAGTTTTCATGTTGAGAAACACAGATTTGCTCGTAGTTTTATCTTCCCAAGATTCATTATACCTTAAAGTTATAATGAATCATCAATATATTTTTGTTTCTGTTCAGTTTTGTTTTATTTAGCTTTTAACTTTGATGTTTTAATTTTTGTTTTATTTCATTCGATGTTATGTATTACTCGTCGTTATTATATATTTTTACTTAATTGTTCAAGTTTTTTTAGTTTTACGATTCCAATCGATTTTTAATAGTTATAATCATAATGTCATGAAAACGGTTTCAATTGGTAATTTGTTATGAAGATAAAACTTAATAGAATAGAAAATAAAGCATGTTAAAACTTAATTTATAAACTCTTACTCAACACTAAAATCACATACAGTCATTAGTTTCTTGAAAAAATTAAGTTTGTTTGTCAGTTGTTCGTCATTATATATTTTTTGAATTCCTCAGAAAGTCATACATTTTATTTGACTCGTGTTTATGTAACTTAGCTACTACTCGTGCCAAATCTCAACTCTTTTCAAAAAATATATTTTATACATAAATGAAAGTTTTTTTTTTAATTCAGTGAGTTATCTAATTACATTTTGTTGTATTAAATAAATAAATAATAACTTTTCATTAAATTTATTATTTTCTGAGTTGCAAAAGGTACATAATAAATTATAAGCTGATATATGTAAATATTTTTAAATTGTATTTATTAAAATGTAATAATTTTATAACTTTTAGGTTTGAAGAATTTATAATTTCACTTTTATTACACTTAAGATATAAATGAATAGTATCATATGTTTTATTATAGGTAAATGAAACATTTTTCCAACAAAAATCGATAAATAAAATACCTTTTAAAACTTCTAGGTAATTCATTATATGACAGCGAGGAACCTATTTTTAGTTTTATTCAGACCTGATTCCTGTTTATCTGTTGTTTTCAAAAATACTTTTCAACAGTCTATCATAGTTAATATTGACCCATCACTAGTATTTACCAACTTTAACACTTCAATCTACCCATTTTCTAGTTAACTATCAATTATGTTAAATTCAGAGCAATTGTAAGTCCTATTACGATGCATAATATTACTATTTGTTTGACCATCCCATTACAATGTTATCATATTTTTTCAATTTTAATGCATTTTAGATATAATTTGTGACATATATACTTTACGTATAATTGTATTAAAATATTTTAGGACACCATATTAAATTTCCTTTTTCCTTAAAAAATATTATCACACGAAAAGATTTTTTTTTAGTTCTAATTAATTTTTAATATGGGAAACTAATTTTTTAGTTTTTTTGGTATTTTATAAATCCTTACAAACTCATCCTTTGTTCGTGTAGTAATCCTGTATATTCTAGAAAAAACACGAATTATAGATATGTATATGTGTATATAAAATATAACATGCCATTGTTATTTGATATTTTTACCTATTATAAACTATTAACAATTTGAATATTTTAATTATATCTATTATTGCCAAATTTTGAAATTTTAGGATTTTTAAATCCTATCTTTTTAATTCAAATATTTTTCGTAATCTATTATAACAATTAATATTTAGTAAAACAAATTATAGATAATGTATAACGAATAAAGTAAAAATAATTTAAACTATTGTAAATTTGAAAATACTTCATCAACCGTCGTCACTCATAACTTTATTCGATCTGATTTTTCACGCCAACCATTACAGTTGGCACTTAATAAACTGTAAACCAAAAATTCATCACTTTGTCATCGTAACACGCGTCAACAAAATTGTGTATTTCTACTAATATTTTTCATATGATGAAATTCTTGATGTTAAACAATTAATTATCACATTATAAATAAAAACCGCAATCAACTGATAAGTCCAAAAATTCATGAATTAATGCTTATATCAACTTGTTTAGAAAAAGCTGATGTATCGTTGATTTTTTAAGCAGTCAGAATAAAACTGACGTTACAACTATTTTCAATTATTTTTTATGCACGATGAAATATCAATGAAAAATGATTTTTTTATAATTATAAAATTTATTTTGAGCTACATTATGTTATCTTATAACAATTAGACAAGAATGTAGTAACCAAGTGGAAAATTACTAAAATAAAATAATAACAAAATAATTTTAATGACAACGGAAAAGCGACAAAAGAGTTTTACACATAGTGGCGACTAATTTTTAGCCAAAGGCAACGACATCTGTATATTAATAACATTATATATGAAATATTTCGGAAAAAACCAACAGTATACGACATTTTCAATATATTTTCACATTTTCATTTAGACAAGTATTTTTTAATGGATTATTATTGATATCAAAAACAATTTTATTAACTTACAAGTGTTGACTTCACTCTAAAAAAAATTTTAAAGTAATTATCACTAACCGTTATATTTTTTGTGAAATTGGGAACTTTGCACCAAAATATAAAACATCCTTTATAAATACTTTTGCTTTATTCCATTAAATTATCAAAATTCAATCCAATTACTCCAATGATTATAATCATTGGAGATAATTATCCTAGACAGATTTAAACTAAAAAAAAACAGATATAAAAAGCTATATGGCTTTAAGTATTTTATTTTATATTGATTGGATTAATTTGATTAACAGTAATTTAGTATTAAAATCTTAAATTTAACAAAATTGAAGTTTTATAAGAAGATCAATACAAGTTTTTTCGCCGTTAAGTATTATAGACCTTGTAACTTTATAGTTGTTAAAAACTATTAAATTTATTAAATATTTAAAGCTTAGTTTAAACAGTTTCAATCAAGGACGAGGAAATCAATACTAACCTGAGATATCATATATAATATCTCAAAATATAAGTTTACGCCTAGGGATATACTATTCATGTGGTGTAAATAATAATTTCACGACCTATTCCCCTTCTCAAAGTAATAATGTATAACAATCAATGGTGCAAAAAAGGAGGCTTATTTCGCCACTTTGTTTAAACATTTAAAAACTTCCACGGAAAAGATTATAATTACTCAATTTTAATAGTTTTTGTGAATATTCATCTCAAAAATTATAATCTGAACAAATTTGTTTAATCTGTTTAAATCAGGATTGCTGAAAAAAATGTTAAAAAAAAATCTGTTTAAAATAAAAAGTTAAGAACATTTCAAATGTCCTTGAAGGCCAATATAAATTTGAAAATGTTAAATGTTTAAAACGTAACAAAGTTGGTTTAAAGTTAAACCAGACTTAACGTCTCCCTTAACTTATTTTTTTCTAATTTTCGTTTCTATACTGCAAAAATAAAATAATTCGAATTGTATTTAATTTAAATTAGTGTTTAAATTTCATAAATATTACAATTCAGTGTTATCATTTACTATTCTTACGATTTTTATATGAACCATTGTAACTTCTTTGGATGGGGTACTATTATTTTATATTAGCAAAAAACAAAATGAAATCGGTAGAAATTGTATTTTTGGAAAGACAGATGGCACCTCTTAATCACTGACAACTTTTCACCCTGTAATCCAACTATAAATGAGATTCCAATCAAGTTACTGAACTTTGAGTTTAATCTGTTACTAGTTTTCGTTTTACTTGAGCGATAGGAAAATCCGATAATAAACATCGCATGTTGTTCACTTCAAACTTAACGAACGAAGCGTAAGAAATTATAAAGTGGTGCATCTAAAAGTTAGACTGCTATCTACAAAACTTCCTTCGGAAACGATTGAAATTTTTTTTTAATTAGAGTAAATAGAGTATCGAATTTTTTCATTATGATTTGTCACCATTCAATGAGTTATTAACAGTTCCAAAAATAATCAACACAAGGATAATGCCGGCATGATTAATCTTTGTTATCGGAGTCGAACCTAAGCTTCGTTCAAAAATAAATCTATTGGTTGGCATTCGCTGTCAGTTTTAATTTTACTTTATTGAAAATTTAAATCGTGCCGTTGCTAGTCTGTGCTAAGCCTTTCGCGTTGTCACGATAAACTCATTCGCATACAATTATTATTCTGTAGCCATCAAGGTCGCAACATAATAAATAAGGTCCGCATTATTTTCGAAATTTATGCGACGACCCGCGTCCATAGCCAAACACTTCTATACAATATGTTGACAAAACGAACCCTCCGACGACACAATTATTATTAACCTATTAAAGACGCGCGACGCTACGCTCAAAGGCAGTCACTCATCCTGGATCAACAATGTTGGTTTTGTTGGCAGTGGAGTTTGGGCGCAAATAAAACTATTACTAAAAAAATATTTGCATAACGACAAAGTGCGGTTGTAGGCGGTCCGTGGCCCGTTGATAACCACCTAAATCGACAACTGTATACAGCAAAACTTCTGCATATAGGGGACGACGCACGATAGTAAAAACAATAATTAGTAGGTTAGACCACCCGCATGTCAAACGGTAGTAAGTAAAGTGCGTGCGGCCTACGCGTTTGTTAGTATATGACTTTGTATCCTCACTGCAGAGGGCGACAACCGACGTCGGTGGGAGCGCTCACAGGTATCGGCAGCAGGTACCGTAGCAAGCCATGATCCACGTGCTGTTCATGGGTAACTCAATTGCTAGTGACAACGGTCGTTCGACCACCGACAGCTGTGCAATGGACAAACTTGAAGAAGACGTGGAACGGCTGAAAGTGTCCATGAGGGAGAAGGATTCCAAGATAGACAACCTCGGACAAGCTGTCGATGAAATTCGGGTGAGTTCTATGAATGTCCACTGAAAATCGGGCAAAAAATCACATATTTTATTTCGCTAAGATAATTTAGTTTGTTATGTCAAAAAAAAATCGATTGACCTAGAAATACAACGAAGGACCACTAGACTTTTCACGTAGAAACGAAGGTAAAAGCGTTTTGTTCTTACTGAACGTCAAATAGCGTTTTTCATATTTTATAGTGCGTGTTGGTCTTTTTATTATTATTTTTTTCCTCGTAAAATTATAGATTTAATAATGAAAAAAAAAATCCTTAAAAACGTTAGAAAATATGAAATTTACATCAAACTACACACGATTCTCTATGAATCATTACTGTTATGGAATTTAAACTCTTTTACTCTAATATATCCACAATTTTTTTTAAAAATCTAAGATTAAGCAAAGTATTTTTTTCTGGCTGCATAATTGCTAATGTTATTAAATAAGGAATAAATTTTACAAAACTTATTCGTGGGAGAAACTTTTTCATTTAAAAATACGTATGAGTTGTGCATAAAATAAACTGAGTATTTTTAACCTATGCTATTATATTTGACCAAATTTAAGTATCGGCCTGAACAGTAGCGTTCTCCAGGTGTTATTTTAGAAAGGAATTATGTATAAGAAGTTCATTAATTACCTTCTCCAAAATACAACTTCATCATAAATTTATTTTCATCATGGGAGATGTTATTCCCCACATCACCTACATGAATAAACCCATGAGCCTGAGAATTTTTCCTATGTATAATCTTATCCATTGAAAAAATTCTGACCTTTTTTACAAAATGTGTAATTAGCTAGGAAATTAAAAATTTAAGGTCAATGTAATAAGTCAATAACATGATTTATTTTTATTTTAAGTTAGGTAGGTGTGGGTAATAAGGCTTAACTAGACCTTATACAAAGACTAATATAACCTAAGCCTTATTACTTACCTTATTTAAAAATAATACGAAAAATACTTTCAAAAAAGTTATAATTCTGTTAATTTCAATAGCGATTAAAATGAACTTTAAGGGTGTAAAAAATAAATGAAAAAACATTGGATAATAGAGTTAGAGAGTCCATAACTCATAGACGAAAATTTGGGGATATTAAGGGCTTTTAAATAACTAAAACTATAAACGAACATCTCAATTTCTTTGCTAATTATGTAATTATTTTTAAGCAAAAATTTCAATTGTGGCCATGAGTAAAAATTTAAGAAGCCCCAAGATTTAAACTGAATGCGCACATATGGCTCTTCTAGATACATAATTACATATTTAAATTGAATTCATTATATCCATGAAGCGAAGCTGAGAGGAAATTGATTTTACCATGATATGTTTTTTTTTGTGTCTATTCATATAAATAGACAGTTCTCACTGGGCCGATATTGATGATATATACATCAAAAGAATACGATTTTAATGTAGTGGATCTTTTCAATATCAAAAATTGACAAAAATCTCTCAATTTTAGGAATTTAGAAAAGTGTTTTAAAAATAGGCAGTCATCAAATTCATGAAAATCTAATAGAAAATTTGATTACAAGAAGGGTTTAAACAAGATGCCTACAATTATTTTTTCATTTTACTTGTTGATAATATTCCATTATGTCTGCATATATTAAACCTATAACAAATTAAAATTTATTATGTAAACTATAATCTTCTTTTTCTTCTTCCTCGCCTTAATCTCAACTACTTAGGGTCGGCCACCCTTATTCTAAACTTCCACTTGACACGATCTCCCACATCCTCTACGCTCACATCAGCTGTCCTCATATCGTATTCAATAACATCTCCCCATCTCGTTTTTGATCTTCCTTCAACATTCATTTCTTCAACTGTTCTTACGGCTTCCGATTCTTCTCTTCTCATAACTTCCAACTTCTCAACTTCAAGTGCACAAAAAAATTCTTCTATGGGAAATTTGCCGGTAAGAAAAGAAAAAAAATACTTTGTTAATAAATTTTGGAAATGATCCAGAATTTCTGCGTCCTTTAAATCTAAATCAAATAAAAGTATAAAGTTTGTATAAATCGTTATTCCAAAACAGAAATTTAACAGATTCGCATAGAAGCGTTTTTATGATAGTAATGTTAATCAATGTCAGATATCATCTATACTAAAGATAAACTATCTATTGCCCTGAAGCAATGCCTAACGGCAGTTCCAGGGCGGTCCACATTAAAGTCGAGAAGGAGGGGAAAAAAAAAAAAAGATATCATCTATACTTGTCCCCAATGTGCTTGTTTTATTTTTAATTTTTAATATTGTATGAATTTTCATGGTAATGACCGTATCTAGAACGCGCTAAATACTTTTTTACTATACTATTTAAAAAAGGCACAGACAAACAGGGGCGATCCATTTTTTACCCCCATATAACCACCACTCGTTAGTTTATTCAACAGTCAAATATCTAAACTGAAATTTCTCAATGAAATTCAAACCCTAGATACTTCTTAATGTGAACAATAATTGATGGCCATTTTATTGTAGGTTATGTTATCATTTTTACTATAGGGGCCATCCATAAATTACGTCACACAAATTTTAGAACCTTTAATAAACCTCTCCCCCCGTCCTTGTGAAAGTTTGTCACATTTTTAGAATACACTACCTCTCGATGTGATGTCACACATTTTTCAAACTTATGCATGTATTTAAAAATAATCAAAAGAAAACAGTTATTTTCATATTTTTCTTATTTTTATTAAACAATTTTTAATAAAATCAACATAAAGTTAATAAAGTATTTTTAATTTTAGCATGTGACGTCACAAAGCTTTTGACTCCCTCCTTTCTCTGCCCCTTGTCACACTATGTCACTTTACGGTGATACCCTCCCACTAATTAACTTGTGACGTAATTTATGGATGGCCCCTAGTGATATCAAATAAAAATGTATTTATTTTATAAAAATATAAAATTATTTCAAAAATATTTTATTTAAATATGCCTATTACTTCAATATATCTATTAAATATTAAATAAATGTTTATAACTGTGATAAAAGTATTTTTTAATTATTATTAAATTTCAGACAATGTTAACATAATTAAAATTTAACGATTTGGGTGCATTAATTCACTTACATCAAATGACTGAATAATTTAATTGTCTCTCTATATTGGTTGTGTACATTTTTATGTGTCCATTCTATATATTCTGTACGAAAATAATCATTAAAATATTAAAAATACGACTGCTAACAAATATTTTCATTGAAATGATTATAATTAAAAATACAGATCCTTTAACAATTAATTATGTATTAGACTCTTAATTATCAATTAAACATTTTTATACCTTGGCGGTAGGAAAAGTGAGGTCGAAAAATATCTAGTGATGAATATAGCAACGCCTGCGCTCACCTCCAGCCAACATTTTAAATTGTTAATAACTATTGAAATACTGGTTCAAAAGTTATCATTTTTTTTTTAATTACATATTTTTTGATTTTATAAACTAATTAATTATATGTTTTAAAAAACATAAGGTTGACATTCTTATTAGGCATAAAGAATGAACATTAAAAGTATTTTACAACAGATAAATGAAAAAAAATATGTAACTAACAAAACCCCCCAAAAATATTCACAAAAAAATTTTCAATTAAAGAGAAAAGAGTGGCTAGTGTTTAAATAACCTCTCTATATTTCCATGTTTTCACACATATAAAAAATAACTCATATTCTGTAGATTAACAATAGTTAAATTATTTTCCATTAATTCATAATAATTCTGCGAAACAAGAAATTTATCAAATTAATGTCTACCACCTTAATAAAAATGCTTTATCAATAGAGTAAATAATTTACCTTCTTTATCGTTGCCACAGTTAAATTGTAGTAGAACAGGTATAAACTAATCTAAAAGCAATGGTTATTTAAATGCACCATAATAGATAAAACACAATTCAATGACATCCTGTGCGTGTATCGTTGACCTATTTTGAATGGTCATACGCTCAGATTAAAAAGAAAAATTCGCCGGTTATTTGGCGATAAGAGAACCCGTTATAAATTACTCTTATTCTCTTGTGTATACAATATTATTTTACAATTGATTGCTCGCCAAACGATTTATGTTTGTTCACATGTTTACAGAGTATGATTGAACAATCAGTTGTAAATCAAAATGTTCTAAAAATTCAAAGTCGCGTGGATAAGAAAAAAGGAGTGTCTGGAGAATGTTCCAGCCTGGTTGAAATACCTTTACCATTACCTAAACAAACCAAATCCATCAAGTAATAAAGCTTTTATTATAATGAACTGTAGTGACAGAAATATTAATAAACTACATGAATATATTTCTAATCAGTTCCAAACATTTGATAAAAGAAGCTCTATGCAAGAATCCGTTTTTGAAAAACTTGAATACCGCACAAATGTCAGAAATTGTGGACGTTATGTACCCAAAAGACTTCGATGCAGGATCTTATATTATTAAAAAAGGCGAACCGGGTAAGCATAAAAATATTGAGAAATTATATCAATTTAATGAAAAATGCTAAATTGATTCCAGGTTGCTGTCTATACGTGGCCGATGAAGGTAAGTTTGATGTGATCCAGAGCGGCCGAGTGGTGGATTGCATATGGCCAGGAGAAGTATTCGGAGAGCTAGCTATTTTATATAATTGTCCGCGAACTGCTTCTATAAGAAGTAAATGATTTCAAAACAATTAAAAAATATAAACGAAATTAATTTAATAATTGACCCAATATATATCTAATTATTTGATATTTTCACAGCTACCCAAGATGCAAAGGTGTGGATACTAGAAAGAGTAGCTTATCAAAAAATAATGAAAACATCTGCTATGAAAAGGTTTGATGAAAGAGTAGGATTCCTCAAAAGCGTACCATTGATGAAAGACCTCGACGAAGAGATTTTATGGAAAATCTCTGATGTACTAAAAGAGGTATGCACTATAAATAACAGATTTGTCTTCCTGTGAGTTTAATAAATCATTATTTTTAATTCTATAATTAAATTACCCAGGAGTTTTATCCAGAAGGACATTATATAATAAAACAAGATACTGTGGGTGATAAATTTTATATTCTTAGTGAAGGCAGGGTAAAAGTGACAAAACTAAATAAAGGTATCAATTAAAGAGAATCTATTAAACCACAACTTAATACAGATATGACGTTCACAATAAGATCTTGTTATAGGCGATGATGAAGAGGAGGAATTTGGTATACTTGAACAAGGTGAATTTTTTGGAGAGGTAGCGTTACTCAAAGAAGATAAAAGAACTGCCAATGTCGTTGCTATGCATCCAGGAGCCGAATGTCTCACATTGGACAGAGAGTAAAATAATGGATTTAATTTTAATAAATTTTATTATAACTACTTGTCTTTAGTATAATTTTTTCGTTTATAATATATATTTTCAGACCTTTTATACATTTCATTGGAAATCTCGAAGAATTAAAAAATAGGAAGTACACCGAAAATTCATCCAAAACTGAAGCTAACAAACTTTCTGAGAGTAAGAAATGATTTTAGGAAATTTTACAGACACATATCTTCAGATTTTATAAGGAAATGTCAAATTTTTGCCCGAATTATTTAAAGCCGCTTGCGAATTATTTCTCAAAAATTCAGCCTTATTACTCTTAATATAAAAATTATTATCACAGGTTTTTTTCTAAATTTATAATTGATAATATATAATTTTCAATTAAATTTTATACGAAAGAACTTATATTCATGAAGAAAATTAAACATAAAATATTAGTTCCCTATTTCATTGAATAAAAATTAATTTATGCCACATTTCTTTTATTTTTATAAACTAGCTTATTACAAAGAACGGGCTTTCTAAAAGTATGGCCCGATCAACAAGAGTCTGAATTGATTCAAATATTTATTAAAAATTAAACTGGAACAAATGATCAAGTTACCACGCCTAAAATGACACTTAAAATTCTATCAAATAACAAGAAATAATAATGTATCATATTTTATTGCTTCATAGAAATATCCTATCCAGAATTATTTCGTGTTGAACTCGACGACTTTGATACAATCGCAACGATTGGTGTTGGAGGATTTGGCCGAGTAGATTTGGTATGTTTAAAACTCAATAGGGACAGATCGTACGCCATGAAGAAACTCAAGAAACAACACATCGTGGATATGCAGCAACAAGAACACGTGTACAACGAGAAAACTATTCTTGAATCGTGTTCTAATCCATTTATTGGCAAGTGAGTCCAATTTCATATCTGTGTATTATAATATTTTGAATAAAAATGAAAGTAAATTGAAGTAAGCTACAAAATAAATTTCGTAGAAAAAAAAATTACTCAAGACCTCAAATACCTGTAATTAAATAATATAATTTAAAATAATTATTATTTATTTTTATTAGACTTTATCGTACATATAAAGATGAAAAATACGTTTACATGTTGATGGAAGCGTGTCTAGGTGGTGAGATCTGGTCGTTATTACGAGACCGTAGGTGTTTTGATGACAATGCTGCTTGTTTCGTAGCGGGATGTGTGTTGGAAGCACTTGACTTCTTGCATGACATTGATGTTATCTATAGAGATCTAAAACCAGAAAACTTACTTCTAGACCGAGAGGGATTCGTCAAACTGGTATCTATCTTCTATCTATTTAAGTTCTAGATATACAATAAAACATGAATTGTGATAACTATTAATTTATAGGTTGATTTTGGTTTTGCTAAAAAACTACAACCTCGTGGTATGAAAACGTGGACGTTTTGTGGCACACCCGAGTATGTGTCACCAGAAATTATATTAAATAAAGGTCATGATCGAGCAGTTGATTTCTGGGCATTGGGAATACTTATTTATGAACTACTAGCTGGAATGTAAGTATTAAATAAATAAATAATTATATAGTTGTTTTAATGATTGAAAAGAATTTGACATATAAAACTTGGACAGAGTTTAGAAGAGGGCTTTAGAGCCTTAGTCTTTTCAAAACATCAAGATGATTATATAAATAATGAGGCGTGATTGTTGGATAAGCAACGTTCTCTATGAAGGAGTTAAAACAAAATGGAGTCATTTCATTAATAAATTTCAAAATCCACAATTAAAAGGACTCCATTACATTGTATCTAATCAATGGGCACATTTTTGTTTAATCGATTTCACAAAGGATGTGGCTTATCAACCAATCACAGCTCTCCATTTCAACCCAGTATAGAGGTCTCCACCAATGAGATGACTCCATTTTGTTTTAACCCTTCATAGAAGGCGTGGCTTAACCAATAATCACATACCTCATCATTTTTTATACCCAAAGGATGACCAAGCCCGTCGCCGGGCATGAGCTCCTCCAAGAACGCGGCCGCCCGCTCGAACCCAAGTGTCGGATGACCATGCTCCGATAGCGGACTCACCTCTCGTCGTTTCCTCCAAGAGGTGAGTGGACCAGGTCCTTCATAGGACCCGATCGGTTGGACAGGTGAGTGGACCAGACTCACGGTGGATGACTTATCGTCTCACCCAAGTGATGTCCTGCCACAGCTGCTTTAACGAGTACTTGCACCGTATTCGCATAGCCGCCTCGCCGACGTGCGACCACTGTTCGGATCTCCCACGGGAGGCTGACAGCGCTCTGCATACCCTCTTCCGGTACGAGGCGTGGGCCCAAGTGCGGGACTCTTTGGAGTACTGAATTGGGTCAACGTTCCTAGTCGGGTCCATGGTAGACCTGATGTTGGGGAGCCGGGAGGCATTGAGGTTCGTCCAGGCGTTCGCCGAATCCGTCTTAAAACAGAAAGAAGAAGCGGAATGCCTGAGACAGAGGCAGCCACGTCACGCGGTACAGGAGAACCTGAGGCGCTGATTTAGGCCGGCGCCTTAGGTTCTTGTTTTTGTGTTATTTGTGTTTTGTGAGTTATTTTGCCAGCCCTCCTTAACGGTTCCTACTCTGGGATCCGACTAACGGGCTTTTGATTTAAAGCTCTTGATTAATTTCGGGCTGATTCACAACGTAGTGGTGTGAATTATAGAGACGGCGTGGGCCGCCCTAAAGTAATGCCTAAAGGTAGTTCCAGGGCAGCCCACATTAATGCCGATCGTGTTAAAAAAAAAAGGATGACCACGCCACCAATTTCCCATGAGGTCAAAATGGGCGTGCCCTCATATTTCAAAAGGAACTCTATAACACTACTCACATCCAAACTTACAAACATGTATGTATGTGTAATTTTGAACTAAAGACCGGTGAATTTATTTTAAAAAATGCATTTACAATTACCCCACTTTATCTTATAAGTTGAAGTATTGTTGGTATAAAAATTATAGTAAATCTAGCGAAAAATATCAAGAGTTATAAAAGCACATTCAACTCTTTGAACTCGATTATATCAAAATTAAAAAAATATAACATTTCTTGTATTCTAAAAGTTTAATATATAAATTTTATTACTAGACCACCATTCACTGGTGACGAACCCATGCAAATATACAATTCAATACTTAAAGGTATAGGGGCTGTATCCTTCCCAAGACAAATAAATCGAACGGCTCAGAATCTTACTAAGCAGTTGTGCCGAGTTGACCCAACAGAAAGATTAGGTTACCAAAAAGGTGGAATTCAAGACGTCAGAAGACACGAGTAACATTTTATAATTGATTTTTTTAATTTACCAAAATAAGTAATAAACAATTAATAAACAAAAAATTTGTTTAAGATGGTTCAAAGGATTTGATTGGTCAGGTTTAAGGAATAGAACTATAGTTCCTCCGATTGTACCACATGTAAGTTATTTGTTAAAAATATCATTTGATATTATTTATTTTATTAAAATAACTTAATCAAAATGGCGTAATGTGACGCAGTGATCATTCAGTCGCTGCCTTTGCATTGACGTCCAGCTGCATTGTTTGGCTATATGGGAGCTTTAACGGTGACATACACTGTCACTTTGTCGGCTCCCTCAGCCATGATGTGGTTGCTTTAGGTCGATAGCCGGTATTAAAATCCTATTAAATCGTCAGGTAGAGACAATCCCAAATAATATAATTAGGAAATAAGTAGATGACAATGATCAAATTAATTTAATAGGTGTTTGTTTTTAGATAAGTAATCCACTGGATTTCTCAAATTTTGACACATATTCGGATGACGGAGACATCCCTCCAAATGAATTATCCGGCTGGGATTCAGAATTTTAATGAATCATAATTATTACTTAACTCTTATCCGTCCGATGGATATACGAATTTATTTTACAAATATTGCAGGAATTAATATAAGTATATTTATGAATTATATTTTAGATAATTTGTTCAGTTGTATAGTTATTTATGTGAATTAATTAATTTGTACTTTTAAATTATGTCTTCCAAATGATTATAGACTTCATATTACAACACAATATATTTTTTATTTTTAATAAATAAATAAATACTTTATAAATTTATAATTTTATTAAGCGCTATAAATACATTTATTCGATTTAATTCTATAAAAAGAAAGTTCAATGGAAAGTGGAAGAAAACATATAATAAAATAATTTTAAGTATAAATAACAACAAAAAAAAAAAAATTAAAGTTCATTTAGTCAAATAGAACGGTTACCATTGTCAAAAGCATAAGTCATAAAAATTTAATACTTTTTGAATTACTAATACAAAAAAGAAAAGACAAATAATGTTGTGAAGCATATGCATATATAAGCCAACATTATTGGATACAAATATATAAATTAAGCATTCACTAGGTAATTGGAAAGTTTCCTATATTCAATATATTAGAATCAATATGATATCACAAACACGCGTGCCTAGCAAAAATAATTTAACATTATTTATAATTAAAAAATAGTTTTAAGAAATATCATTCTAAAATAAATGTCTAATCAGCACCACCCTGAACAGTATTATTTTCATCTTTTTTTTTAGATGTATTTGCATTTCCTGATTGGAAATTATTTTTGTTTCGCTTAGATTTTTTTCCTTTTTTACTAACTCCATTAATATTTTTAAGATCTTTTTTTTCTATAACTTCTTTCACTTCTGCTGCATATTTATCATCTAAAGTATAAAGCAAAAAATAGCATAAATTTTTTAAAAATTTTAATTTCTTTATTTTAATATTTTTAAGATTAGAACAACTACTCCAAAATTTCTTGGAATAATTTCACAAACACTAAAGAACTTCATCCTTATCCAAGTTTTTATATTCATATTAAGAATATGTTATATTTATGATACTTAGTATGATATTGTGAATAATTTTTGTTCAATAGTTTTGAAAAATTGTTCAAAACTGAATTAATATTTTACACAACAAAAAACTTGGCTAATACTATAAAACTAATCAGTTTTGTTTATTTTAGTTTTAAACTATCACTTAATGTCAAACTTCTTTTTTTTACACCCTTTATTAAAATAATAATCAGCTCAACAATTGTAAATAAATAATAAAAAGTATAACAGTAACAATACTATGTTAAAAAGGTACAATAGTTATGACTAATTATTGGTATACTCTAAAATAGAGTGAAATTAAACATATCTAAAATCTCTGCTAACAGAGCTCAGGGAACATTTTAAAACACCAAAAATTCTTAGCAAGCATGTGAATAATAAGGAATTAAGTTTTTTCATATGGATATAACAAGATGANAATAATTATTGGTATACTCTAAAATAGAGTGAAATTAAACATATCTAAAATCTCTGCTAACAGAGCTCAGAGAACATTTTAAAACACCAAAAATTCTTAGCAAGCATGTGAATAATAAGGAATTAAGTTTTTTCATATGGATATAACAAGATGAAGAAAATGAAAAAGAGCCATATACTATATTAGCTTAGATAACGAATTTAAAAATGAGAAGGGATGAGAGCCCCAGAATGTTATGGTAATATAGTGTAAGACCAGTGGGCAGCAGTTGAGAGAATAAAACAGAAATAAGGAAGCCATCTCACCTTACTATATTGCTGTACCCATAACGTTCAAACATATCTATATCTTTATAATGAATATTTTAATTGATTAGATACATCAAATTAAAAATTAAAAATCTTACCAAATAATTTTTCATTATTTAGATTTTTCTCAACAACTATTTGCTCATTAAAAGACTTTATAAGTTCTTCTTCAACCTTATCAGCTTGTTTTTCTGCATCACCATTTTCAGGTATTATATGACTAGATTCCTAATAAAATTCAATACAATTAAAATGAACTACAATTAATGTTAAAAAAAGCATTAGTACTTACTTTTTTATTAGAAAGTGATGAATTGCGACCAAGTGATCCATCTCTAGAAGGACCAAGTTCTTCTTTTAAAGAATCAAATCCTGATTGATCTAAATGTGTTTTAGCAACTGCTTTTTCCATATCGTCAGTTACAATTTCAATATTATGGATGCATTGATTAATTATATCTTCACGATTTATATCTCTTAGAGCTTTTTCTAAAGAATTTCCAGTAGCTTGTTGACCAAAAGTTTGTAACCACAACCTCAACATAACCATAGCTTGTCTAGGTGGATTATCAGGATATTCTGATTTAATAATACTTATATCTGATTGTAAAATACCAAGTTCAATAGCTAATTCAGACCAATTATCGCCTAACATATTAGATATATCTGACAAACGAATATCTGCACGATGAATAGTATCAGTTTCTGGTTCTACAAAATACAAAAAAGGTATTGAAAGGTATTTAAATATAAAGATGCCATTTATAATTCTTACCATAACCATTATCATAAATATTATAACTTCTATCTAGACTTAGTAAATCTGATTCTGATTTTGTGGATTCATTAACAATATCCTCTGGAATAGCAACATTTAATACACAAAGTGGTGTTTGAGCTGGTTCACCACGACTAATTTTAGGTTCACGCATGAATAAAATTCTGGCAACATTAGTGTCATCTAAATCTCGTAAACGTACAGTAAATGGAAGACGATTTTCACGAAAAGCTTTGAATTTAAAATCAAGTTGTTCACCAGATTTATATATAGGTAATAAGTTTCCAGCAAATTCCACAAATATATCTTTATTTTGCAATACTTCCACATCTCTACTCTTAGCTACTTCAACAAAATGCTCTTGATTTTCTAATGTTTTTTCTTCCTTATCATCAGTCATACAAAATACTCTGAGTCGCGCTTCAATTGCCTCTGTTCTTTTAGCAAACACTACAAATCTAGACAGCAAAAATAAAATATTGAACATCAAAATTTTGATATAAAACAATAATACTATTTTTTATACTTTGCCATAAATGGTACATAATTTGCTTCAATGAAAAGTTGTGTAGCTATGTTCTTTACTTGGCTAACATTTCTGCAGTCAATTAACCAAAATCTTGCTGATAATGTCGTAGTAAATGTTACACAATCCTTAACAAATGTTAATGGTGTTCCACCAGTTACATCATCCCACTGAGCTTTTGATTGACCCCCTATAAGTAAATATGTATAAATATAACATTAATTGTAATTTTTAGTTAAAAAGTATAAATTTTAATCTTGATTATGACTTATTTAGATTTGTAATAGTAAGAGATCCCTACATCACTTTTTACTAGGTCACTACAATTTTTTTTAATTACTCAGCCTAAAACTAACCTCTCATAAAATTATACATTTAATAGAAATTACCTGACATGCTACAAAGAAGTCTAAGAGTTGGAGCATCACCTGAATACTGATTAATCATTCCTTTAGTAGTAGCTTGTGGTAAAGGAATAGTTAAAGTAATTGCTTTATGAAATTTTCTTCTTCTGGGCTCAATAGTTACAACAGGTGATACAGCTACACGATTACCAAATAATTTGGTAACTAAATCAAAAGGAATAGGTTGTGCCTGTAATATTTTTTTAATAATTTATAAGTTTTCTATTCATAATACAATTTACGATAGAAATATATATATACAGAGTGTTCAGTAAGTTAGGAAACAGGTAAATTATTACAAACAATGGAGAACAACAGTTATCCATTTCCTTACCTACTGAATACTATATATATACTCAGCTACTTAAATAAAAATAAATTCAGATTTTGTATCTTCATTTTTAAGAAAACTAAACATAAAATTCATAATTATATTGTAATTCTTACTTGAAGGCCAACTTTAATCCGTTTTGTTAATGCATTAGGAGGGAATAATGCTTGTACTTGGGGAACAACAGTAGAAGATATAACTCCTCCTTCAGGACCAACAGGATGAATTTCTTGACGTAACCTTGACACAATAGCAAAGTATTGTGGAAAATCTGTAGTCAAAATGCGTTCTATACGACTAGTTTTAAGATCTTCAATTTGCCTTAATTCTTCACCACCTGCAAAGCTATCATTTAAAACTTCCTGAACAGCCTCTTCATTGGCTTCTAAAGTGTGATCTTTCCATGTAGATCCATTGTCAGATCTTAAAACAACTAATTCTCTTTCACGACCTCGCATAGAAGCAAAATGAGGTACTTCAATAATAACTGGTCTGTAGCATTAAAAAGTTACAAATTACAACATGCAAACAACTTTTATTTTATTATACACACCCAAGAAACTTAGCACCGGTAGGACCTAGTTCAAGTATTCTGCTAGCTAATGCTTCTCCTTCCATAAGTGGTGGTGGATTAACAAGTTTGTCTCTTCGTAAATATCGACAAGTAACTCGCATTGGACTAGGAGCTTTTCTAGGAGGAATGATAACTCTTACACCAGATTGTCTGCAACCCCTCATTGCACCGCCACGAGCATCTACTAAGAAACTCACCAGGAAACTAAAAATTGAAACACATAATGTTAATTTTACTAAAATTATTTTAAAAAAACAATTTTTAAAATGTGCTGACTAAACTTAATAATTAGTGTAATAAAATTAACATTATAATGTGAATAAAACCATGCTTTTAATAATAAAATTATTCATGCTAAAAATTTAACAAAACTAAATCTAATATAAATAAATTATGTATACAACTTATTTTAAAAGTTTCTATAAACAACTATATACAAATATTCCATAGAATATTAAAGGAACATACATTTATACACATTACTTAACATTAACTTACTTTTTCCAATGATTTTGTCTGTTCACACGCCATATCCATTCAAATTTAAATTAAAAACAAATTATTTAAAATTAGTGCAATATTTTACAATGACAGATTTTATAGTTTAATTAAAAAATATCTATTAACAAGATATTTGAAATAATTGCATATTCACATTATTTAAAATTGAGTTGTATATATTTAATTAACTTTTATAATATAATGGAAATGTTAAAAATAAAGTTGCGTTTTTAAGTAAAATAAATACAACTTTTGAAAATAATACAAAATGTTGTGTCCAATGTTAAGATTTAGAAGTTTAAATAACTATACATTTACTATAATAGTGTAAATTATCTATAAGTCCTAACAATAATGTGCAGTAATTATAATTTTAATGTGCTAAAATATCTTAAACAAATGTGAGTATTTATAAAATTAGTGATATTTTAGTAGAAATATTTAGTTGATTAGCACGCACACCAATTGTACTACATTCAGAGCACAGTTGCAAAACATTAATAGAAAAAATGTATTACATCAAAACAAAAGAAAACTAGAAAAATAACACTAATAAAATGGTAAGAATTTACATTAAAAGTATTTTGAGTTAATTTTAAATGTGTTTCATTCAAAAACAATCACTCAATCTACCTTTCACGCCACATTCCTGTTGTCTTTCCATGAGGACCAAGCAATGCCAACGATCTTTCTAGACTATGCAACCTGTCGGTATAAAATTTTATCGCGAGGTGTTTAGTATTATTTTTCATAAATACATAAGATGCAGTGATATTTACTCAATAAACACATTCTGGAAGTTATCAAAAATGTTTTCTAATATATTCAACCCAAAAATAAAAAATTTATTTTTTCCAACAATTTGTTATAAAAATAAATATTTTTAATAAAATATATGTTGTATATTGTATATAATAATGTATCCTTTTAATAAAATTATATTTTTTAATTATTTCACCTTTAAAACAAAAAAAAACAGAATTAATTATGAAGAAACTTAAATATTTAGTGAAAATAATTCTTTGATAACATAAAATAATTAAATTATTGGGTTAAAGAATATAAAAATTTCAATGAAATTATCTTATAATATAGGAAATAATACATTTTTTTTTATAATGCACAACTTTATAGATATTGAAAAAAATGACAATAAACCTGTCTATAATATTTTAATATTTAGAGTCACATTAAGATTATAAAGTTTAACTTTATAATTTTAACTTTTCACACTGCACTACCAAAAAAATTACTTGTTTTTTACTTTACTTTTCCTTACATTAAACCAATATTATTTAACTTCTTAACAAAATTCTAATTTATAAAATAACTTTAATTGAAAATATGATTATTATTTCTGAAAAATAGGCAATACTACCAATAAAAAATATTTAAAAAATAATTTAAACAAATACACACAACTAAAAACTGTATGACCTAAATTGTATTTTAGGGATATATTTAGACTTTATCAAATTATAAATATCATGATTTTAATGGAAAATAACACACACATATAAATATATATATATAAACTCTAAAAATATTTAGTCACCATTAAAAAATTGTTTGTATTATTCCTTTTTATTTCTTAAATATATATTATAAAATTTAATTTCTCAACTTTGTGCTATATACACACTATATCATCTACGTGACAACTAATATAACTTATGATCTACATAACATTTTATACTTTTTTTAAAACCATATTTTGATATTATAGGAATGTATTTGGACTAGGAATTAGTTTGTGCGGTTTTACAAGAGATGACGCAACTGGCTTATTGTTCCATTGTTTCGTTTATAGAAACATGCGTTTAAAATCTTCTATCATTGGGAATCTTTTTCAGTATACATCATTTAATTGAAGTGTAAACAAAGATTTTTTTATTTAACTGAAAATGTCGAGTTTTGTGCCGGATAAAGTGTTTTTGCGGGGAGTTCCTCTTCATTATTTTATTATGAAGAAAAGTGCTACCGAAAGTCATCGAATTTTGGTAGAAGTTTATGGTGACCATGCTCTAGCTGAGTGAAGTGGTTTGCACGGTTTAAAAGCAATAATTTTGGCTTAGAAGACCAAGAGAGACCTGGGCAGCCAAAAAAATTTGAAGACGAAGAATTAGCTGCAATGCTTGATGAGGATTCGTGTCAAACGCAATTGTAATTGCAAAAAATTACATAAAACACATTTAAATAATAGAACTATAGTGTGAAAAATTGTTTTTTTTTAAATAAGTATAAAATGTTATGTATATTAGTTATATAAGTTGTGAGTTACATCTGTTTCATTCTGTACATTTACATACTTTTTTTTTTGCTTTTTTAGCTCCATTAAGGGTCATAGCAATCTCCCCCAAACCATTGATTCTCCAGGACAGATTGCTAGTCTGTCGCTGTAAAAAGAGCTGGAGACTTCAATTACTGAACTAATATCTCGCTCAGCAAATGAAACCATTAATGACTGAGTTTCAGAGTGCGTCAAGCACTTTCTTGTTACTGACTCAGCCACACTTTCCCTTTATATATATATATTATGCATAATATTTACAGAAGGTTGCAACAAATATAAATATATATATTTTTTATATACAGATTGAATTTTTGATATTTCTAAATAATAATACATTTTTGAGAAATAACCAACATATAAATTTAGTCACTTTTAAAATAATAGAAAAAATTTAATAAATCGTCTTTGTCAGTGAAATCCGAAATTTAAAATTATAATAATTGATCAGCTTGGTTTAATTTTACCATTTTTCTACAGGTGTATATGTATTTGAATATATTCTTATGTATTATCCAACAAAAGTCCTAATAAAATATGACCTTTTACTTTAATGGAATAAAATATAGAGATTCATATTTACTTTTTCAAAATAGTTTATGAACTTTTAAAATTATCAAATATATAAACTACATTTATGTATCATATTATAAATTAAAAAATTTAATTGAATAAATAAATAATAAATAATTTAAAAAATTCCAACTATAGCTAAATTTAATACATATATACACAAGGGTGTACAATTATTTTATTTTTATTTAAAATCTCTAAAAATTATACTTGATTTTTTAGAAATCTTAAGTCAATATAAAAATAATCAATGCAAAAATATGATCATTGTTTATTTTCAATGGTAATAATCCTTAAAATAATTCAGTTCAATAATTTTTTTTTTTAATTACCCAATATTCACAGGTGAACGACATATATCAACATTATCAGAGAAAATACTTCCTCCAGAAGGGTTAGGCGAGTACTGAGGTGATGCATGAGTGTTCATAACATATTCATTAACTACTAAACAAATAATAAAAAATGATTTTTTATGTAAGACACAAAAAGTTAAATAAATATAATATCATTAAATTAACCCAAATTAACATAATAATCAAAGTAAATATAATAATTATGTATTTAATAAGAACCCTAAATATTTAAGTATAAATTTATACCTGTTATTTCATTAGGTATATCGGTCTTTTCATCCCTCGTGACATCAATTTTCAAGGAATCATCCCCCATAGATTTCATATCATCTACTGTCATATATCTGTATTGGTGTTGATCACTTAACATAGGATCCTCATCTGTCATAATTAATACTGTACATTATTAATATTTCAAAAATACATTGCAAATATTAATATATTGAAAACAAATTTAGATCATACCAATAGAAACTTACTAAAATAATTATGATAAAAAAAATTAAAAATGATCAGACACATAGGATTTTAAACAATAGAATGTACTAATACCAAAAATAATTATTGTTTGCACTTCATATCTTATCTCAAGCAAATAATGTCAACTAGCTCTATTGTTTAAAAACTGTCACAACAAAATTGCTTAATTGTAAATTAAAAATAAAAATTGTATAAATTTTCTCACAATGCATACAATAAAGGAAATTTTCATTAATTTAAAAAAAGTATTTAAATATTTATTTATATGTTTTAAATAGTTTTAGGTCAAAAAAATATCAAATTTTATTTTCTGAATGTAAATAAAAAAGTTATGATTAGTGATAAAATTTTTATTGATGACAGCACCAATTAAATGTTATTTAAGATTTCGGGCAAAACTAACCCAATAATAGTTAAAATTCAGTCTTATAGAAACAAAAAAATAAAATATATTTTTGTTGAGTCAATACATCCAATACTTTAGATTGAAGCTAAATATAATGAATTAAAATATAAAAAAACAATAATATTATTCAATGTTAATTTATAATGAAAATTAATAACATTAATGTTGCATATTAATATTAACTAAAAATTATTATTTTCAAATGTTGTGTTAAGACTCCAAAATACCCAATTTCAATCAGTTAATTTAATTTTTTATTTAAAGTTTATATTTACTTGTAAAATTTTAAAAATATACTATTCATTTGTTTAATATTTATTAACATTTCAAAGACAATTTTTTTTTAAGTTTTTAGTAGCGAAATATAAATTTGTGCATTTTTTAAAATAATTATTAAAGGTTCCACACTATTTTATATTACTAAAATTATTTATATCTTATGATTATAAAAATATTATTATTGACTTAAAAATATAGAATTTTCAGATCACTTTTAATATAAAGTGCAGTATATTCTTGCAATGATCTTAAAAATTTTATCGAATTTTACATATTACACATTAAATCATTTAACTATTAGCTTATAGCAGCATTTCATGCAAAAATATTAATTCAAGTTATAATTTAAGTCGTAGCAAAATGACTATTTCTATAAAATTAAAATATGTACCGCAAAACAAAATTATCTAATAACATAAAGAACAAAAATAATCAAATAGCTAAAAATAAAAATTATAATTTTAAGTTTTAGTTTTTAGGAATAAATAATATTGTATTTTAAATATTATAAATTAATCAGTTTTATATTCTTGAGCTAAAAATTGATTCATTTTTAAATTTGTTAGTTTTGCCTATAAGAAAATAAATGCATTAATCCTTCTTTTACAAAAAATAATTCTGAAGCAATATTTTTTCAGTTCAATTGAACTACTTAAACTTTATAAATTGCCACTATATTCAAATTTAATCCCAGCTTATGAAGCTGAATTATCTAAATATGAGGTCTAAACCATACAAACATATAACGTTTATACTTCCATTATAATTTATTTTGATAGTATAATTTGCCACGACTCAATTTATCAAATTAGAATTACAATAATTAAATAATATCTAGTATGTAGCCCAAGAAGCTATGCCACCATCAAAATACATAACATCAATTCAATCAAGCCCCATAGCGTTTCCACTATGTTTTCTACAACTTACATAATACATTTTGACCTTGATAGTATGGAAGATAAATGTGCTGCGCATGTGTAGGCTTACCGTAATCATTCATGATTACTGACAAGACATCATCACCACCTGTCCCAAATGAGTATATAAAAAAAAAACATCAACACAAAAAGCTAAGCTTCCCCAATGTAATCTCTTTTTTTATTAAAACACCCTACTAGTATCTTAGAATATTCAATATATTATGTTAGTTCAAAGCTTTAAATAAAATTTTTAATTAATATAATATACCTCCTTCGTCCTCTGAATCTGACATAAATACTTCTTGCATTGACTCAGGTGCAATTACTTTGTATTTCTCTTCAATCATACTAGTAGTTGTGGTTGCTATAGTAGTCTCTGTTACTACTTTTAATGTTTCTACTACACTTACATAACCTAATTTATTGGCTATTGATAATGGAGTTTGTCCTTGCTATACAAAAATTATATTTTATTAGAATCAATAAAATTGAAAAATATATTATTTTAAATTACAGAATTTTGAAGATTTGGAGACGCTTTACTCTGGAGTAACAAAGTTATGACCACAGCATGCCCTTGTTGTGCAGCCTGATGTAAAGCTGTGTATCCAGATGACGTTTGGACATCAACTTTAGCACCTTTTTCCAAAAGAAACCTTACCATATTAAGCTGCCCGTAATGACATGCTATATGTAAAGGAGTAAAGCCAGTCTAAAAAAAATTTTGAAATTTATCATTAACTAAAATTATTATCTTAATCTAATATATAACATATTTACTTTAGTAATAGCATTTATATTTGCATTATTATTGGTTAGTAAATTTGCTACATTCACTTTGTCTTCTTGGGCACACAAATGTAATGGTGTTAATCCATTCTACAATAATTATTATTCATATTAAAATGATATAAATGTAACTTGAGTAGTTCAAAATATATGTATATTATCAATATAGCAATAGTTATATCATACCTTTGACTGTAGGTTAACATCTGTCTTATATTCAACTAACAGATTTGACATCTGCAAATGACCTTCCTGTGCACTCAAGTGTAATGGACTAAACCCAGCTTTAGATTCAGCATTAACATCAGACTGATTTTTCAACAGAGTAGAAGCAACTTCAAACTATAAAGGAAGTGTTATACAGACATGCTTCACAGCATTAAAATCAAACTATAATAAAATTCTCACCTGGTTCTTCTTGGCAGCAATGTGCAACGGTGTATAACCATTTTTAGCAGTTATATGTGGTGATGCTCCTTTGTCGAGAAGTAAAAATACAATATCTTGATGGTTATAGTGACTAGCCACATGTAACGGAGTAACCCCATTCTAAATCACAAACCAACCATAAATAACTCTAATCTTTAATAATTAAATTATCTTGTTGTTTTTTTGAATTAATAGTATTATAAATACATAAAATAACATGATATTGAAAATTAGTATAATCAATTAAAGATAAAAATAAAAAATATTATTCATGAATAAAATAATCAACAGAAATAATTGTTTTGATGACAATTAAAATAGTTTAAAATTATTATATGATAAATATAAATATTTAATTTTTTTGAGCAATATTACAAATAATTTTAAATAAATTATCATTTGTTTAGTTCTTTGTAATATATTAATTAAACTTTTGTAGAAAAATTATTTTCTAGTTTGTAAGTTGGGTAGACACAATATGTGTTTCCATTTAAAAACTAATGCTAATCAAATGTAAAGGAGAAAATGGAAGAATAATACCAAATTAGTTTCTGGAAGTTATAGAATGTAGCTGATACTAACTTCTAAAAAAATGGTTGTTAATCAATTATGTTCTATATATTTCTAAATATATAGAAAATATGTTAAATATATTGTATATTTTTAAATAAATTGTTGTGTGAATCATACAATTATTCTGAACAGTACTAAGATATTTTTCAATGAATTGCTTATTATTAGATACCTACCAAAGTTCAGTTCAGGTTGGGCTTACACGATCCCAAATCAAATTTAGCCTAATCCAAAAGTTGGACTGAGCTGGGTATGATCTTAATTTAAAATGGATTTAACTGGGGAGTTAAATCATATCAGATCAAACATTAATATGTATTCATGTACATTTGTGCGTAATACAAAAAATTAAATTAAATTAAAACCTTGATTAAAATTAAAGAAGTTTTTTAATGGGTCAGTTTAGATTGGACTTGATTCTTTTTTTTACTTGGGACAGGCTGAATTGGACCTAAAATTTATACATAATTTGGATTGGATCAGACTGAGTCTGTATAAAATAAATTTTGGACCTGATCAAGCCTAAAATTTTATATATATATATTAGGGTATGTCCAGTTAAAGTTTTAAAAAAAAATAAAATATGAATTGGATTGGGCTGTATTTTTAAAAGCCTGAACTAACCTGTTATAACCAACAATATTTGAATAAATTAAAATATTTTCTTTACAAATGAAGTAATTATAGGCAAAATTATTATAACTGAATTATCATTATGTATAATATTATAAATAATATTACAAAATATATTCTAAAATATGGTCAGAATAATAGCCAAGTAAGGCTGCAGAAATTGCTACAACTAGGATTTTTAAAGCCCTGGCAAGTTAAGAGAAAAAAGGCACTAAAATTATTGGAGACAATAAGCTAATGGCAGTGAGTTCCTATCAGAGGGAAGCTTTGACTGCTCCAGTTCCTAGATACAATGTAATTGGATTAATGTTTGAACCCATTGTACAATTATTTGAAATTATAACTATTTGAACACCATTTGAATATATTTTAGTAAATATATAATTTTTAACACTAACTTCTTAAGTTATTTTTTAAAAATATTTTTATGTTTTAAAAAATTATTTAAAATACTATTGATAAATTATAATACATAAAGTGTAGGTTTTCAGTACAAATTTTTCTAGTCCTACTCATTATTATAGTATATTTGTTATCCAATAAATAATAAGAATCACAAGTACTTTTAGAAAAGTTTCAACCTATAATTCTTAAATCACTGGTTTAATTATGTAAAGATATGTGTGTCTTATCTCCCCATAAAAAAATAATTTAATGGCTAATATACAATTTTTTTTATGTTTGGAAGGGCAAGTTAAACATTTTCTTATGTATATTCTCCCCAAACCAAAAACTTTAATTATGGTGCTGTCATAAATCAATTATTATAATTTAGAAAAAAAATTAGTTAATGATAGTATAGATAACATTTAATTACTATTTTTAATATCAACAAATGATTAAAAGTAATTTTTGTTAGTCTATTCTTAATAATTTAATACTATTATAAAAACCAATCAAATATTTTTCTTACTTTGCCTTGAAAATCAACTGGTGCACCTCTTTCAATCAACATTTTTGAAATATTAATATTTCCATATTTTGCAGATAAATGCAGAGGAGTAAATCCTTTTTTAGTAGTTGATGTTACAGAGCTTCCATTATCTAAAAGAGCTGATGCAACTTCTTCGTATCCTTCTTTAGATGCAATATGTAAAGGAGTATACAAATCTGTAGTAGTAGCATCAACTAATGCACCATGTTGTAATAGTAATGTAGCAATTTGTGTATGACCTAATCTACATGCTACATGAAGTGGTGTTTGACTATGTCTAGCTTTTGAATCTACTGTAGCACCTGAACGCACCAAAACTCTGACTAGATCAGATTGATTAGCTCTTGCAGCTAAGTGCAATGGACTTTCACCCCGAACTGTACTAGCATCAGGGTAAGCTCCATGACTAACTAAAACTAAAGCTATGTTCATACAGCCCATAAAACTGGCAACGTGTAAAGGAGTTAGTCCAGACTATATAAACAAAATATTTATATTTATGATTAAAAATATAAGAATTTTGAAAAGTTAACAGGAAAAAAATGATTACTTCAGTAGTTGCTTCAATAGATGCTCCTTGTTTTAATAAAAGTTCTACAACTTTTATTCGATTTTTTTTACAGGCAATATGAAGGGGTGTAAATCCATTTAATGCTCTAGCATCTGCGTCAGCATTAAAGTCCAACAAAACCTTAGCAACCTTAACATGTCCGCAATGGGCAGCTACATGTAAACTAGTAAGGTAATCAACTGTAACATCATCAACTGGTGCTTTATTACTTAAAAGCACTTTAGCTGCATCTACATGATCTCCTTGAGCAGCCATATGAAGAGGAGTCAACCCATTCTGTAATTAAAAATATATATTCAATTTTTAAACTTAATGTACTATTAATGCCATCACTGCCTCCTTAAAAAAGAAGGATTTTCAATATTCAATATGAATGATTATTTTATTGGTAGGTAAATCAATAGCAACTTCATTACAAGTGCATAATGTTTACCCAGCATACAGAGCTTTCCATGAGTCAGTATTTAACCAATGATAATATATGTCAGACAAAACTATCTCACCAACACAATCAAACTCGACAGTTTAACATTTTCAAATTAGATATTTATGATGGCATACTTTTGTTTTTAATATTCTAGGAGCACTGCTTTGCAATAAACGTTCAATAACATGATCATGTCCAGATCTAGCAGCACAATGTAATGGTGTAAGTCCATCACGAGTTTTTGCTATAATATTAGCACCAAGTTGAATTAATAAATCAACCATACTTAATTTTCCCCATTTTGCTGCTACATGGAGAGGAGTTATATTATGCTGAAAAAGATAAATGTATATAAAATCAAAATTTTTTTTGTATTAGACAACATACTTTGGCAGTAAAATTTACATCAGCACCTTTTTGAACCAGTAATGTTGCAACATTATTATTTCCATAATGTGCTGCTATGTGTAAAGGGGTGAAACCACTTTTTGAAGTAACATCAGGATTATGAGAATTCTAAGGAAAATTTAAAAATTATTATAAATATACAATGATGAAAAATATTCAATTTAAAAATTGATAAACATACCTGGAGCAACAAGTTAGTAGCTTTAGTATCATCCTTTTTAGCAGCTATATGAAGTGCCGGTAATCTAACTTTTCCTTTAGTGTCATTCTCAAGTAGAATAGCAACAACTTTGTCATGGCCTTGTTGCATAGCGACTGCTAAGGGTGAAAATCCATCCTAAAAGAGTGTCAATATGTAAGGATACATGTATTCATTTCAAAATATCTAATCTAAATATTAAATATTATTTAAACATATCAAAGAAAATATGAACCATTATTTTTTTCTTTCTTTATCCTTGAGATAGTATTAAACTGTAAAGGGTGTGTTTAAAATACATATCATTTAATAACATTACATGAACGTTTGTCATTTGTTTGGTAAAATAAAGCCAATTAAGAACATTTAACTAACACATTTTCCCAGTTAACTACTTGCGCCATTCATTTATTTTATTATTAAACTCCTACAATAGTTAAATGGATTCAATTATCAACTAAAAAGCCTTGAGCAAAAACACATCGAAAATCCAACCTAATATTATATTGCCTACATTTCGAGTACACATAAAATCTTTATAATAATTAAAGCTATTAAGTTAAAGATATATACCTCGGTAACTAGCAACTGATTTGCACCATGCCGCAATAAAAATTCGACAATACTACAGTGATTTTCCTGAGCAGCCATATAGAGAGGAGTGAAACCACTGTGTGATTGAATATTAATAGATGCATTATTTTCAATTAATACTTTGACTACCTCTTCTTGCCCAGCTAATTATATTAAGCAATAAATGTATTAATAAATACTCTAATAAATAATTAATTACTGTGAGAACTTACCTAAAGAAGCGATATGTAAAGCGGAATTCCCTTTTTTGGTCACTGAATTAACTGAACATTTTCTTTTTAGCAAACACTTTACGATGTCTACATGGCCATCTTTAGCGGCTAGATGAAGAGCATTAAGTCCATTCTGGAAGTATTACTCATATATTAAAATTTATAAAATAAACTGATAAAATATTAATCACTCACGGCATTAGTTGTATTAACATCAACACCAACTCCGTCTAAAAGCTGCAAGACTTTTTCGAGGTTGCCTGATCTTGCTGCTCGCAAATAGGAAGTTGCTGGGTCTACCTGAAATAGCGAAAACAAATAAAAATCAAATTATAAAAAACTAGAATATAGTATTAGATTAGAAACATAATTAGTATGGAACAGTGCCGGGGCTAGGTTTAGTGCGGGGACGGGATAATATAGGATAGATTCCCTCGATAAAAATTATTACATAAGGATGATGATACTATTATTTTCGTTTGGAGGACATAACAAAAATTTTTCTTATGTATATCCCCCGAAAAAGCAAAACCCTAACTAATATGATAGAAAAATAAAAAACCTATCATACAGGGGATAATGGTATGCTAGAAATTTTTATAATAATCCATTACACGAGTTTAATAATAAAAACGTTTAAAATACATTCTTGTTTTATTGCCAATAGAGTTTTATTGTAGGCTCATCGTTGTACATTTTTTCAGTCATTTCCAATTAAAGTACTAAGTTATAAATATATACCTATGTGACAAGAAAGCAGTAGTAACTGTATTTAAAGTTACCACTAAACAAAATGCTTAAAATTAGAAATGGTAGACAGTGCTTTTATTGAGTAAAGTTACGATCAATTTTAATAATAATTTATCGATAATAAACTTCCCGGACGTTAGATTAAAATTATAATTCAGACACTAGACTGAAAATAATTAAAACACTTTACGGATGTCCGTTTAAAGGAAATTTTGCAAAGTCGTTACTTAGATTTATTTACCAACTTAAAGGAAATAAATACAAAAATTTAATTTTCAACATATAAGATATTCCTAAAAGAACTTCAAAAATACGATCCTAGTTAAAATCCAATATTACAATATTTTTTAGGGGACCTTAATATTTTCAAGGCTATATATGTACGATACAATTAAATATAGGCACATGTTTTAAATAATGCCAAAAAATAGAATTAACAGTTAATTTAGTGGATAAATTAGTATCTATTTTTCATAATCGTAAAATTGTTTATTTTAATGATTTACTGGTAATAAATATAAACATTTAGACTAAAAATGAAAGTGAAAATTATATTTAATGTAAATAATAAAAACTTAAACATATTACTAATAAAATAAACTCATTGATTTTCTATCAGTGAATGAGTTGTTCAACAATTTCACTCATCGTGTAATTCAACCTTAGCTTATGGGATTTAGTTCTCTAATGTAAACAAAACTTTTCTTGTAAGTAAATACGTAATAACTAAATAGGAAAATATAAATAATGCGTAAGATGGGCGGTCACGTACAGGTCAAAAACTATTGAGCTGGTCGGGACGACTAAGGGTCACATAGTGACCTAAATAAGGAAAGTATCAACTAACTGATAAATAGGCTTCAAACGCAATACTACTTACTATCATTAAATGACCTTTACGTTTTCCATGCAAAATTAAAAACTTTCATTGCTATTATTCCTAATGAGCTTCAATTTTAATATAACTTACAGATAAATAATATGTAATCAATGTCTAGAAATAAAGATTTTCAGTAAAAAAAAATGTTGCTGCAAATTTACAAAAGTTTTATCATTAATGGTAACTATAACTAATTAGATATTACAAATTATTTTGGCAATGAATATTTGGTTAAAGCATTTATCAAATAAAAAATGTCAGTTGAGCACTGATAGACATTTAGTTATTAACCATTACATCACTAACCAGGTGTGCAAATAACAAGAGGAGTATTTCGATTAAATGAGCAAAAAAAAAATTACAATCATTCATTAATAAATACCAAGGAAAGCCAATTTGCTTTTTAAAAGGGCATCCAAATAAATAGGCGCGGCTCTGCAGGTGTCTATTAAGTATTGTGTATGTGTACAACATGAGTTGTACTGTCACTATCCATATAAAGTCAAGAGCATTGATTAACTGTAACATTTTCACAGAAATAATTGTCAATGGATAACTTTGATTCGTTTACAATTAGTAGGACAACTTCAGTTGGTACTAATAATCACCTTGTATTTTAAATATTTATGTGGGTGTTAATAGTTTTTCTAAACCTAATCAAGGAGTTTTGAAAGAATGGGTATATTTCAACATTAAAATATATGTGATGTATTAAAAAAACATCAAACCACGTAGTATTCAAACATGGATGAACATTAACAATAACTGACAACAAACGCCTCTTCACTAAAATCTTACTAAAATAGTTTATAAACGTTACAGATGAAAAGAACACATTGTAGTGTATACAAAATAAAAATACAACTCTAGTATAATATTTAAAAATCTTAACTATGAAAATAAAAACAGAAGTTAATTATATATAATCTATTAAAAATAAATAAGAATTTCTTTATAATATATGTGTATTTTCAATTATTTAAAGTCTTTTTTTAAATAGTTGATCAAATTGACTTTTTGGTTAAATTAAACTCATTCTATAACAAAAAAGGACATTTTTGAATAATGAATCATAAAAACAAGGAGGATAGCGAATTTTTTTAAAATTCTATTTATTTTTATTACAAAAAGTAAATATTTAAAATACATGGTTTCATTAAGAACTATTTTTAATAATTTTTTAATATTATTCATGTTGTATATTTAAAAAATATTACAGATTACCCCTAAAAAATTACATTTCATTCTCTTGAAACTAATTTTACTATTTTAGTTTGCCTATTAAAAAACATTTGTTTTTAAAAATTGGAATAATTTGTCACTATGAATATTCAATGTATACAAGTGAATAATTATACATTGTTTTTGAAAATAATAAGTTAATATCATTCTTATAAATTAACAAAAAAAAAAAATATGCACTTTACAGCAGATTTTCAACATTAGGCTTCTCAATTTTAACTATTTATATTGAAAAAAATAAAAAAAATAATATAATTATTAAAAAATGAATAATGATCAGTATACACTCTAATTTTTATTGATTAAATTAATTCCGAATAGTTTTACTCGTTGTCGTAATCACAATAATTGTTTTTCTTGACTAATTGGCGAATAGAATTTTTTTTTCGATTCGCGTATTCCCATACAGGTTTAGTTTAAATTAGAACTAAGTTATTGGCTAAGAATAAAAATAATTAAGGATACTAATTCAAAATATTCACTTCTTTAAATATATTTGAACATATAACATACATAAATTTCCTAATTGTATAGAAAATTAAGCTCTCTACACCTATAGTGTGAATATTAATAACCAAAAAATTAAATGTTTTATAGTACCACATAGAAAATATATTTGCTTTCGAAAATTATTCAATCATTTCCTCAATTTTAACGGTTAATAAAAATAAATTCTAAAAAGTATCTTTTGACATACACTAACAAATCTAAAACGAAAATACAAGTCTTGAAAAAATATACCCAAAAATTCATAAAAAATGCGATTAATAATATTAAGAATAATAAAAAATATTAACTATCATATTTAGATTTAAAGTTGAAGGAAAAAGAACAAAAATTTTATTACTTGTACTTCAAAGGTTATTTAATTCATAAAAAATATTAATTGTCAATAAATTAAAATATTATATGTTTATTTACCTTTATTACTAACTTTGTTTAATATAAATTTTTATGTACTTAAATAATTGAACTTCAAACTATTATATTCATGGCTAATAAATTTTTGTTAAATATATTATAACCTTCATTTAAGTCAATATAGTATTATCAAAAACACAAAATAATTATAAATACACAAAAAATAACCTACTTTCAGTTTAAATATACATTTCATTTAACATTTATTCAAGTACAATAAAGAACAGAAAAAAAATTTTTATTTTAATAATACAATATCTCGAAAATTATGTTAATATATACCTTGAAGGCAATTCATTATATCGTTAAATATCTGTTATTTGTTAATGACTATTGAGCAAATTTTAACATGATTTTGAAAAAAAATTAATATAAAAATGAATATTAAATAGTTTTTAAAACAACCAAATAATTTAATTACACGATACAAACAATAAAATGACTACGGTTTTCAAAACTTGTTTGTTTACAATAAAATATTATTCATAATTATTTGAATTAAATGACTCATTTTACATAAGATGGTTCATAATAAAATCGAATACAATATAAATTAGCAAAATCTTCTAGCACGATTATAAATTTATTCTGATAAAAGAAACACAACGTTTCCAAAAATAATACATCAATAGATTAATTAAAAATTAATCTGTAAACATTATATTATAAAACTAACCATGAAAAACATAATAATTAGAAGAATAACGAGTCTACAAAAGACGCATACATATCTATTATATTTTTATGTATGTACATAATACATGCAACACATTTTAAAAAATACATAAAACGTGTTTACAGACTAATATGTTAACAATTCTTAGCTTTTCCAGTAACAAATTGAAGGGTTGATTAAAGTAAAGTTATGGAAATTTTTCAACATAATTAATAGCATTGCTTTCTCTGATAATTATCTACCGATTAATTGAGCAACGTATTATTATTAAAATTAGTCAAACAAAATAATTGAATATAATAACATAGCAACAATAAAATTTGCATGATTTAAATGGCTTATGTGATCCAGATCCCATTGAACACCTAAGTGCCTGATGAAAACATTGTATTAGGAATAAGGTCTAAGAACAACGGTTGTAAAAAACGTGCTTAGAAATATAAATTGACATTGAACGATAATAAAGTGCTTCGTAGCACAAATATTTAAATGCCAAATTCTAAGTAAAACCTTATTGAATTTATAAATAAAAAATGTCATTTAAAAATATTGATTGATTAAACATTAACCAACAAAGACTATCAGATAAAAGATCACATTAAATATACTTAAGCGCTAGAAGTAAGTATGTGAGAATACATTCGTGTTTTAAAGAGATGAAATGCATGATATTGAGTCAATGAACAGAAATTTTATACCAGGACAAACTTATTAAGGTAATATTGTATAAAACCGGTTATAAGTTCATCACTTTTTATATATTTTTTTTCATTCTTTAAACATTTATGATTGTTGTAGTTAATTGTAACTCATATAAAGTGTATATCTACA